TTCTTCAGTTCACGTCAATATGATATATTGCTCATAATTTGATATTCTCAAAATAAAATTCACTCCTGAGTGGTTTGATAAATTATGAAATCCATTAAAACACCAAACCACCCCGCTTATCATTGAAGTACACTTTGACCCCTAGAAGTATGAGTTCGCGGACTGTACAATTCTTGGTGATTTTGCGTACATGAGCTAATGTTTATTTATTTATCTATGGTTACCCGTGGTTAAGTAAAATATTTAATTTTTCACAAGAGTAGTTTTACACAATTTTGTCTTCTTTTAGATGAAAATGCGCGAATTTTTTCTCGAAAACTTCGCAGACCGGGTGATTATTTTACATAACTGTCCCAAGGGACGTTGATAAACTTAACCTTCCTCTGTTGGTGGAATCATAGGTAGATAATGTTGGTCAAAATGCGGTAAAATGTATAATAACATTTATACTGATCTAATCCACATGCGAATGATTACTGTATATGTCGAATTATTCATGAAAATTATGTTTGAATGCTCCAAAACATATTTGGAAATTACAGGGGGTGTACTCAAATAAACACTGGTCTTAACTTTTATAGGTATCTTCATAAGCTTCGCGAAAAAGTGCATTGAGAATTTTTGAGAATTTTTTTGGAGAAGACGACATTCAAGAACTTATCATTTTACAGAGGACAGATAAACTTCATAAATCAGAGGACAAAAAAATTGAGTTTTTGCCACAAACATTTGCCACATCTCTGCAACTGGTGGATGTAAATCTTTGATATTTCAAACTTGGATCATTTAATCTAACATAATTCATAGTTTGAAATATCAAAGGTCTACAGCAGAGTTTGTTTCAAAGACTCAATTCCTTTGCTAACTTGTTATGAAAAACATGTTTAAAACAATTTTGCAAAAAGTCGAAAAATGTTAGGAATATATGTCAACTAATTATAGTCCATGAAGTCAAAAACTTGTAACCTTAGATCAAAGATCTTTTATACATATCACTTAATTAGTGATTTAATAACTAGTCAGATTTAAGGCTATTTGCTTTGCAACTTTAACATCAAATGCACTTCAGCATTGCATTAATGTCGTCTTCCTATTCTACATTTTTCTGGTTGTCACGGTAGTATAAGGAGCTTGTAACAAACTCGTTCAAGTTTTTCATCCAAGTTTATGTCTAGTTTTATCTTTACAACATCTTAGAACAAATCTTTAGCACAAAATTTGAGCTTTACAAATCTTGTAAAAATTTAAATTTCCTAGTTTATGTGCAAGTTTGAACTCAGTCAAGTTTTTTACAAATCTTTGTTCCAAGATGTTCAAACTTGGGAAAAACTTTTTTTTCGAAATGTTCTCAAGTTAAAGATTCGTTTTTAAACTTCTGGGATGTTCTAGACATATTTTACAAGCTTTGTTCCAAGTTCAAACTTACAGAGCGTCCCATTTCATATTAGATTATCTCCAATCTTGAACGCCAAAATACGCACATAATACTAAAAAAATCTAGCATTTTCTGCAAACAAAATTTCTATTAGCCTTATTAATTTTTTTAAAATGATTCATTCTTCTTAAATTTTTGATTTATCCCCCAAAATGTAATTAAGACCCATTGATTCAGTCTAGTTTGATGTGGGACACCCTGTAGATTAAACTTAAACTTAAATAACAAACTTATTTTCCAAAATGATGTTAAGCTTAGGACTATAAGTACCTAAGATTAAAAAAATGCGTCTTTAAGAATATTTAATGATTTAATTTCTAGCATTTATATGTAAACAATTGAATGCAAACATTTTGCTAAATAAAATGTTAGAGATGTATTATCCTTTTCTTTTCTGTTAAATCAATGTCATTTTATTTCTTGAGTTTGATTAAAGGGAATGTAATTTCAAGTGACCCCCCATGTGACAATTCCCGATTCCCAACTTTGATCAAGGATGAATCATTTAAGATGCCTTCTCCAAGTGCAGAATAGGTTGTCAGAAAATGCAAGGTAAAAAATGTGAAAAGGAATTGGGTCTTTGTCACAAACATATGATTTTCTAATCTCAATATCTTTGTAATCCAATGCCGTAGACCTTAGATATTTCAAACTATGAATTCTGTTAGAAGAAAAAATCTAAGTTAGAAATATCAAATATCAGGTGGAAAAAATATAGGTATTAGAAAATCAGAGTTTGTTACAAAGACTCAATTCCTTTGTCTAATTCTACTAAGCTGAAATTTAGTGCAAATATTCGAATAGAAAAATGTTAAATTAAATGCCTTTTCTTCCTAAATAATAGATTAATAGTAATTGCCATTTATGAACAACTTTAAACATTTATGAAATATTCTGCAAAGTTAAAATTCAATGATCAAAGAAAAAAAAAAATACGATCAATTTTTATTTCAAAGAATTTTCCTTTAGCCAAGATTTCTATATAATCCAGATGTTATTTTGAAACTGTACACTATTTATTGTTGTAGTTTTTATTGATCTAGTCTTTGGGACTTGAGTTAGTATTAGAATTATAGAAATAGGCATTGAATGGAAAGTTTTTCACATGGTTTACATGTAAAAACTATGTAAGCTGTTGTTTTGTAAACATGTCTGATCTGAGTAAAACGTTTCTTCGGTTAGTTAAGAAACAGTTTAAATAATTTTATGTCCAGTCAAAACATGCATGGAAAGTTTTAATTTTACAATAACTGTTAAATTCAAGAATGAATTCAAAAATTTATATGTTAGGATTTGAAATTGAATTGATTAATAAAATGTTAGATATTTCATGTAATCTACATAATAAAACAAGACATTCGTATATATATATATATATATATACAAAATCAAAATCTGATGAATAGAGCCATACTGATGAGTCCTAATAGGACGAAACACTGTGTCTGTGGATATATATATATATGTTTCGTATGGCCGGCCAAACAGCTGAACCGATTGGACTGCATTTTTTTGTGGACACTCATGGGTGGCCGGGGGGTGTTATAGTGAAAGTCCAGAGAAAACATCTAATAAACACACCCGTCACCCAGGCTAATGAAAAGGGCACACTCCTCCCTAAATGAGAGCCAAAGTGCTAGTGAGCTAGGGTTATTAACAAGAATGCCCATGCCACCTGATAGCCAGGGAACAACTCCAACCCACAGTTCAACGTTTGATAACAAATCAATCTAGGCCAGATTTCTTTGATCTCAATCTTGGCCCTGTGAATCTCAACGAAAGTATTGCTCAATGTCATGTCTGTCATGTCTGTCATGTCTGTTACGGGTAACTCTGAGATGAGGCATTCTGAGTCTTTTTGCTTTGAATCTAGGGCTTAAAACTAAATTAGCGATTAAATAAGTGTCTAGAGAAAAACTTTGGATTTACAGATCTTTAAAATGTTTTAAATGTCTCAAATGAATTCAAAAAAGCTTTCCACAACACTGCATACTCAGTTCAAATACGTTAAATAGCCGGTCACCCCCTTTCAAGTATATAGATGCTATGATGTTATCTTTCTATTCCATTGTTTTATGGTTATCACTGTAAGGAAAAATATATGGTAAAATCTTATCAAAATCGGTCGTTTTTCGGATAAATGTTGCTGTTTTTTTGTTGCATGTATCTTTTTCTGGGGATCAAAAGTTGACAAAATGTAACGAAAGCCAAATCTTTTGAATATGCAATTTTGTTTACTAAAACATCTTTTATTTGGAACCTTTTTTAGTAAAAATTTAAAATCCAAAAAGTTTTTTAAAAACTTCAAACTTATTTTCGATTACCAAGGTTAGGAATTATTAGCTTTGATAAACTACGGTGGTAAGCGTTTATATAAACGAAAATGAAATGAAAATATTTTTAAAAAGCTTGGAATGTGTATCCATGTTGTTTAACAGCTAAGTTTATATGAAAATTTAATTCGAAAGTCGTCTTCTTTGTATTGATACAATCGCCTACCACGGTGCATAATTTGGTTTATGAATATTTAGACCTAAAACTTGACGAAATTGTTTAATAGGTTTAGTGGGTATACCTCTTACATAGCGGTTCATCCTGTTTGTTTTTAACTCATAACTGTATATAGACTACAGAGTTTCCAGCGAAAAATATCATTTTTTTGGAAAACTTTTGTTAAATTATCGCAAACTTATTTTTTACAAAATTTCTCATAGTGCACTCCCATAGATAACTAATTTATACAGTTTACACCTTTAATCAACCTCTTAGTGAGAATTTCTTCCGCAAAATTGCGCAAAACAGAATAACGCAAAAGCGGAATAGCGAAATTTCGCGCTAAATGAAGTTTGCAAATGATTGCGCAAAGTGCTATTTTTTCGTGCAAAAATGTAGCGCAACGAAAGCAAAAAATTGCGCTTTCTTTCGCAAAAATTTCGCAAAAGTTTTGCGAACATGGAAACCCTTGGGAGTGAGCCCTGTAAATTAAGATTAAATACCAAAATTTGCATAATTAGCCAAGATAAAAAATGAAAGAAATGATTTTTTAAAGCTACAGTAATGACCGGAATACAATTGAAAATTAAGACGATATTTTAGAAATAGATAAGTATATTTAATGTTGTTACAAAGCAAACAGTTTTATTAGACTCTTATTAAATCACTAATTTAGTGAAATGGGTCTGTTTACAATGCACAATTTCTGTGTCTCTTCCTTATTGAAATTTTAAAGTCATAACTTGATTCTAAAAGTCGTCTTCCTATTTCAGAGTTTTCTGGTTATACCTTTAGTCTCTGAATTGTGTTGTGTGCTGCGTAGGAGTATAATTGTGGATGTTAAAGAATCGAGTTTGTGTGCGGGTCAGCCTCCCTGCAGCCTCCCTTACGTAAAACTAACTATATAGTAAAGTTCTTCATGTTGAATCAGAATATGTTCCTTCTCATTCAGAACTTAGGAACTTTTTTATTCAAAATTTATGACCCAACAAAAAAGTAAAAGCTAGCAGATACAAAAGATCTACATTTAACGGGTAAAAATGGACTCACTGGATTTTAACCAGGACATCTAATTTACCGTGCCCAGCAGTTTCTAAGGCAGGTTAGACTTATCCTGAGCCAGGTCAAGTTTTGTTCAGTGCTCCAGTATACATACAAGTAGACACAGGTATAGNAGTTAGCCCTGTTTATGTTTATGCAGTGGAACTTTTTTGCCAATAACTTTTATGTTAAAAATCAATATTTTTTTAAAGGACTTGAGTAAAGGAATTTGAGTCTTTGCCACAAGCTCAAAATTTCCAATTTCATATATCTTTGCAACCTGATGGTGTTAGCCTTTCAAACTTTGACTATTTGATCTAACAGAATTCATAATTTGAAATATCCAAGGTATATAATTTGAAATATCCAAGGTATACGACATTGGGTTGAACAAATATAGGGATTAGAAAATCTAAGTTTATGGCAAAGACTCAATTCCTTTTTTCTAGTGTTTTTAATTCAAGAACGATTTCTTTCATGAATTTCATGGATGGATTCGAAAAATATTGTACATCAAAAAATGTCATGCAGAATGTTAGAGTTTTAAAGTTAACAAATTACATTTAAATTAATCCCGATTTATACTTTATTCAAAGGGGGGGGGGGGTCGCGGCCACTAATGTCCTAAGTAAAATCTCCCCCCCCCATTTTCAAGCTTGTTCATATGCATAATTTATATTTAGTCTCTGCAAAAAAAGTTGCTAGTCATGAGTCAGCATTCATTCAAAATCTATTTTTCATGATGAGTTCCTTCCTTGAACTTATATAATATGTGGCCTAATTCTCGGCTTATTTTTGCCTACGAATATACCTTTTTTTTGCGTATTAGCCTTGAAATATTTTAAACGAAGACATGTATGTGCTATCTTTCTATTCATCTTTTCGAGGCTAAACTACGTTTTTGCTGGCAGGCATTTTAAGACGTCATTCTTTCCTTCTGATATTATTGTTATTCTTCATAAATTGTCAATCAGTGCACACTCTATCCCAGTGCACATTGACCAAAACGATTTAAGTTTAAGCAATCATGTCTTTCAATTGCTCAAAGCAGTTACTTCAACAAAGAAATGACATATCTTAAACCTTTTTATTATTTTTGAATGAGATCACAGATATTTAAAACTTGGTGTTCATGAAAAAATGTTAATTTATGCTTAGTAAATAAATTTAAAAATACTTAGAAATTAGTTAACCAAATGTGTTTTTTTTACTGATTTTTTTCTAATTCACTTAATTCTACTAAATATATTACATTTTTATTTCGTCCTGACAAAAGTATGAGCTCTATATTATCTTGAAAACTGTCTCCATTTCACCATTATATACTGGGATCTAAATTAATGCTTTGCCTCTCACATTCCGCCTAAAGAATTTAGTCTAAGGACAGTATTCGTCTTATCTAAAATATTCTTTTTTATCCTTATTAACACAAAAGAATTGTTTTAAGACAGTTTTTTGAAAAATACAAACACAAAGAGAGAAATATGACTTACAAAATCAGAAAGATTGGGAAAAGATTATTTTGTATAACTTGGCATTGAATCAAAGAACCTGGCCATTGAATTATTCTTAACATTATAGTTGTAGCAGGCCATGTAGCAGGCGTACTTCAAATGCAAAAATAGTTCAAAACAGTATGCATGCAGTACATTGATAAATAGATAGTAATATAAACAAACAATATCAAAAAGTTAGCATTAATAAAAATAAATTACTTTAGATTCAATGCAAGTTAAAAGGGAAATATTTATGTAATTAAAAAAGCTTAAATATCTTTTCGTTTTTATACGTAGACATCATTTCAAGTGGCCCTCTTTTTATAGAGTTGAATGTCAAATTCATAATGGTACTCTTAAATGCTTCAGTCTATGATGAAAAATGTGATAATTTCTCTTGAATTATATAAATGCTCTAGAGAGTGTAAAACTGGTCAATAGTTCCGTGTTGGTAAAATGATTTCATAAAAAATAAATAAGTATATTTCATATATTTCATATTTTTCATAAATTCCTTTTCAGGAAATGAAAAGCAGCTGATAGCAGCATCATGATGCGGAACAATAGTGAGGAGTTCCACAAGACCCATCCAACAGAGCTAACGGAGCAGTTGTACCTGTCAGCAGCTAGAGCAGTAACATCAAAAGCACTTTTGGACCTTGGAATAACATCTATCATAAATGCTACCCTGGAGCTGCCTACTGTTGCTTACCAGAAGCAGGAGACTATACAAATTGCTGTTGAAGACAGGATTGCAAGTAAACTTTATATTTACTTTGACCTTGTTGCAGATAAGATCCAGCAGGTTCATTTGAGCGGTGGAAAGATCATGGTTTATTGTAGAGCTGGTCAATCAAGGTCAGCAACATTATGCATAGCATACTTCATGAAATATCATGGACTTAGCTTTGAAGATGCATTCCAGTTTGTTAGGTCAAAGCGTCCAATTATACATCCCAATATTGGTTTCATACGCCAACTTAAGGAATATGATGCCAAGTTGAAAATAAAGGGTTCTATTCCATCACTAGCAATAGCAATTACACCACTGCCTGCAAGAAAAAATAATTGCCTTCCATTGAGCTTACCGCTGCCAATCATTGCTGTTGAATCCATTGTACCTAATGACAATGTTGAGAATGAGTTGGATGAAATAGAATCTCTGCCAGTTAACCTTGACCTTGCTTTTGTTCGTATGCATGATCAATGCATGAATACTTTAGAAAATTATGAAATTCAGGTGGTTAACACCTGTGAAAAGTTGGAGGATTTGAAGTACAATCCAGATAAAACAATAACAAACTTTCATCATCCTCAATCAGTGGCCAATGTAAGAGAAGAAGATATTGGGGATAGTACTGGATATTGGGACCCTAATCTTAAAAGAAGCAAAAGCCTCAGAACTGCATTTACTCGTCTCTCCAAGCCTAATGAAATAGCTGTAAGTTTTATGAATTTAGCATTAGATTTAGCTCTAATTTCAAATAGAATAACACCTTTCAAACTCATTATTAACAAAGAATATTGTTCTTCAGACTTTTCAGAACTGCACCAAGCTTATGAGGTCTTGGAAGAAGTCCCTGATGTCTGTCTCTGTGAGATTCCAGATATAAAGACTTCATCAAAAAATCTTCTAGATGTAATTGATCATTCCATTATCTGCAAACCTCATTTGTGTCCGTCTTATTCATTTATTATACCTCTGTGTGATGTTGAAGAAATTGTTTCTATGCAAAACAAAACTTTGGAAAAATCCTCCAAGAGAACATTTTCCAGAAATTCCTCATTTAAAGGTCACATTAATTTCCGTGAAAAGTCGCAGAATGTAAACTATTCTGCATACTCCAAGTCCAATCTTAAAGCAGTCTCATCAATTGATGCCTCTAACAATTTAAGGAAAGCAAACAGAGAATACTGCAATGATTTCCTTTTCTCAACCGTATGTTTTTCACCAATCCTTTTGTGGGAAAAATGCACAATGTTGCCTTCTTCATCAATAACTTTGATTGATCTAAAAACTAATCCATTGATTGTACGACAATCATTTAAATCTGTGATAATTACTGCCCCATGCATTCTCTCCAGTGTGAATGAACAGACCAAATGTCAATCACCAGAAGAGGGATATCACAAGTTAGATTTCTCAATCACTGAATTTGAAACTTGCCAGTTTGCTATTTCAGTTGAGCATTGTTATTTGGGATGTGAGAATATAGAACTTGGAAAAGCAATGAATATATCACGGAAATATCCATATTACTGCAAATCACAACAAACAAGTGCCATTGAAATGTTTCAGGCCAAAGAGGAAGCTCACCTTAACATTCAATGGTTTCAAGAATCATATACGAAAATTCCCAACAATACAGTAAAGCTTATAAGAAAAGTCTCAAATTGCAAACCAGAATCTAAACCAATCCTACCATTAAGACTAAATTGGGCGTCAGACAGTCTTTTAACAAGTGAAGCTGGTTTTCTTATTGATATGGCTGATCACAACTGGACTGAAGAACATGCTCTGATTGTACTTGCTGATAAAGTTTGTTTTAGCTTTGAGGAAACTTTAAATCAGCCCCTGCTGAAGACGGATATCATTGGTAAATTTTATGTTCCTCATTATAATCCTATTCTTTTTCAGAGATATTGTGATGTAATATTCTTTTCACTTGTACAAATCTTTGAACCTCAGATAAATGTTATGAACAATATTTATTCAGCTCCAACAACAAAATATTTGTTTGCTAAGGGGAAAATGTTAATCCATCAAGAATTCAAAGTGGTGGCAGTGCAAACTGTTCCCCAAATAAAAGAAAGAGAAGAATTTGTTGAAGAAATACCTGAACAAATTTGTGACCTAAACACCCTTAAAATAATGCTTGCAAATGAAAACAGCAGCTCTAAGTGCAATATTTGGCTTGATGTTTTTAAGAGAACTATAATGAAATTGAGACCAACCTTTGCAACGCAAAGCTATGAACGTACTCTGAAAACAGTTTGTATAAATACATCAGCATCATTAGAATGTCAAAGTTTGTTACTCCCAATTTCTACTGTTTTCGAAGCTTTGGCGGAATCAGAGATAATGATATCTGAGAGTTCCAGTGCATGCTGTGAAGAGAAGTTTACATTTGATAATATTTTTGAATTTTCAAATATAAGTCAAATTAAGAAAAACTCGGAGCAGTTTGAAATACAAATTTCTATTGCTGATAATTATACCATAGAATACAATCCAAGCTGCTGGGAAATTGCTTTAACTTTCCAAGGTTCATACTCCCTGACCCTTCAACAATATGCTACATCCTCGGTCTCTTTTCCTAACAAGTTGTATACAATGTCTTATACTGACGTCATGGGCTCAACTGTTCCATACAATAACACCGAGGAGCACAAAAGAACAGCATTCCAAGTAGTTTCCAAACTACATTCTGTTGTGAGTCATCAATTCATGACACATTTGACTTGTAGCAAAGCACATCCAGCATATCAATTTGTACAGGATGTTGAAGACTGGCCTGATACTCTTATACATTCCATTGAAGCTAAGGAATTTGCTCATACAGTGACAATAGATACCCTTTGGTTTTTTTCTTTGGACCCAGTAACAAAAGAAGATGAATCTCCATACTCAAACTACTTATTATTCCTCCCTGATTCAGACAGCGCATCTCTTATAGGCAAGGAAATTATCAAGGGTAGCAATATGGCTGTGGTTAATACATCCCAAGTTGTTGAGGAAATAATACAAGATGTTAAAGGAGAGATTAAAATTGAAGACACCCTTGACTGGAAAACATCAGAGAAGCAGGTATCCTTTCTTGAAACTAGACATTCAGGACAGAAGTCTAAGCCTAAAGTTCGAACTATTTACTACGGGCGGGATAGAAGCAAAGGTAGACCAAGTCTCTTAGATGTCCACTCAAGTAACAATAGAAGAAACAGGTCACTTTCTAAGCATAATGAAACTGAAGTAATGCATAATCTAGCAAAATCAGTGAATGAAGCAAATAGCATTCTTGCCAGAAGAAGGGAAAGAGGGAGATATGACAGTCCCTCAACCCCGCTTATTCCAAGAGGAAGAGAATTAGAAAGAAGGTCTACATCGAAAAACAGTCCTTACTCCAAACCAGACAGTGAATTTGATTCAGATACGTCTGCACCTAAAATACTGAGAATTGTTAACATTGCCCAAAATCTTTTCACAAAGGGAGAACCTAGGCGCGAAATGAGAGACCGACTAAACACTACCAGACCTGATTATACCAGAAAATATCAATGATCATGTTTATTCTACATTTACTATGTAAATTATTTTGAATTCATAAATTAATATATAAATTATATTGTAAATGTTTGTTTAATGAAAATGTTTTAAAACTGGTCAGATTTATAAAAGCTTGGCTCTTTTCCAACTTTAGAAATATTGTTGTAAAATATTTAGAATTCAAATCGTTTCTCATAGAATATTCATTTAATAAGTGAAAAAGCAACCCCACAATTCTATTCAATGTTAGACATAAATTCTAGGACAATGATTACAACTTATTTTTTAATTCTTTTTTGCTTACTTCGTTTAGGGTTTGGATATAAATTTACTTATCAATACAAACAACTGAAATATTTGCCATTTGCTACTTATTTTGATAGATATAATCACCTTGCCTCTAGACCACTATATTTTGAATTTACAATAGCAATCTTTTTTACATTATCAAATTGAGACTTTCGACTTTTCAAAACTAAATTACAAGGAATCTTTGTTAGAGTTTTTTTAAATTTTATAGACAGGACATTTCATAGACAAGACATTTCATAGATAGCCCATTTCATAGACAGAACATTTCATAGACAGGACATTTCATAGACAGAATGTTTTATATACAGGACATTTCTAGATAAGACTTTTTATAGACTTGTAGGACATTTCATAGACAGAGCAAATTTTTTATGGCCAGAAAAAAACTCATAGATAAATATTTTCATAGACAGAAAAGCATTTTTTTGGTTGTTCAGAGTCAATTTGAGGTTTTGGGATAAAACTAACAAGATTTCGTCACAATTTAAAAAATGTGACCAGTTTGAGATAAATATTTTTTATATCAATGCATATAAATATATTGTTTCGTAATGTATGTGTGTCTAAACTAACAAGATATCAACATTATGATATCAGTTTAATGAAAAGATATGCATAATGGGCGCTATAGATCATAGAAAGATGAGGGTATGATTTATGAGAAAAGATTTCTTGGAAGAAGAAAAAAAAATTATTTTAACTATGAAAAATATTCTCTGTCTATGAAATGTCCTGTCTACGAAATGTCCTGTCTATGAAATGTCCTGTCTATGAAATGTCCTGTGTATGATATGTCCTGTCTATGAAATGTCCTGTCTATGAAATGTCCTGTCGATGAAATGTCCTGTGTATGATATGTCCTGTCTATGAAATGTCCTGTCTATGAAATGTCCTGTGTATGATATGTCCTGTCTATGAAATGTCCTATGATATGTCCTGTCTATGAAATGTCCTATCTATGAAATGTCCTGTCGATGAAATGTCCTATCTATGAAATGTCCTGTCTACGAAATGTCCTGTCTATGAAATGTCCTGTCGATGAAATGTCCTATCTATGAAATGTCCTGTCTATGAAATGTCCTATCTATGAAATGTCCTATTTATTAAATGTCTTCCTATATAATATCTTTTATGAAATGTCCCAACACCTGAAGTGTCACAATAGATAAATTTGGTCAAATGACCATGAACAAAACTCTTGCTGCCTTTGATATAAATACAGAGCGTCCCATATGATGTTAAATTGTCTCCAAGCTTTAACACCAAAATAAACCCTTAATACTCGAAAAACTTCTCATCTTCCACAAGAAAATTCTTATAAAAGCCTTATTTTATTTTTCAAAATGGTTCATTCTAATTTTATTTTCTGATTAGTCCCGAAAATCGTAATTTCGACCCATTAACGGTCTAATATGATGTGGGACGTATTAAGCAGTTTACTTCCTGCAGTGTACAAAACTAGGGTTTCCAAATTTTCGTTCCATCTCTTTCGCGAAATTTTGTTTATTTTCACGAACATTTTCGAACTTTCAATTTAAACTCTAATTAAAAAATAAATTGGAACTTTATTTAAAAAACTCGGCTTTCGCAAAACCTTTTTACAAACCGTTATGGCGAAATTGGAACCTGATTTCACTAATATTTTTGATAAGATTTAGAATTTTCGTAAATAAACCTATATTTGTAAAAGAAGTTCAAAAAAAGTAAGAACTGTCTAATTGAAGTCAAATGTATAGTTAAGTTGGTAACATTTTGTATACTAACAGCATCCCCTTCTCATAGCAGTCTTGACAGAAGAATTAAATTTAAATTTAAGTTTGAAACTGCTCAGAAGAAGAATATTTAATATACCAAGATTCACATCAACCATGATACTCAGTTTTTGTGGAATTCCGCGTTCATCAGGTTTGGAAAATAATATGATAATTTTACAAAAAATGCACATGCACATGAAAAAATGTGTGAAAAAATGCCTAAATTGAGAGAAAATAAAATTTGCGCCAAACGAAGCGTGAAAAAAGTTACCGAATTGTGTGGAAAAAATTATTAGTAAAAACTGGACGCAAAGAAAAAGATGTATGTACATTGTATATGTGGACGGACAGAAAAATAGATAAATATACTTATAGTTCACTTCATCAAACATTTATTATTAAAGTTTAGTCTTATAAGAGACATTATATAGTGAAACCCTTAATAACGAATACATCGGAAGAATTTATCAAATGTCGTCTTGACAATTTTTCAATGAGTTTTATACTATATTAAGTAAATTTCAGTATTTACGAAAATAAATAAATAGCCATGAATATACGGGAACAGTTTTAAAGAGTTCCATATAATCATTTAATTAAAAAACTAAATATCTGCAACATTCCATTATCAGAGTGAAGAATACGACATTTGATAAATTCTTTCGATGTATTTGTTACTAAGGGTTTCACTGCAGTATATAATTTTTATAATAATAGGTAATTATTAATAATAATCTAATGCTGGGTTCGCTGAGCAGTGATTTCCAGTTAGAAAAGTGTTTTTTTTTGGCGGAAATGTGTGTTGCAAATTGCAGCTACAAAACTAAAGTTTTTACGGAAGTCGATTTCGTGGAATTCTCCATCGTTTTCCCTTCCTTTCCGAAAATTCATTTTTGCAAAAAAAACCGAGAATTCCGCGAAGAAGTTTGCAAAGTACAAACAAAAATTTCGCATTTTTTCACTACAGTTTTCCTCCTGCACTGGAAACCCTGTTTGCAGTAACTAGTAAGTTTTCCCTTGACAATTGGATCAGTTTGAAAAATGGGAATAAAAATTAAAAAAAAAATTCAAGCTGCTTTGATTAGATTGTAAAATGTAAAGACATAAACCTCTGTATCACAATTTCATAATATATATGTAATAAATAATATATAATGTTACAATATCTTTGTACCCTGTTTGTGCTAATCTGTATAATTCAATGACCGTTCCCCATCGGTTATAGTTTAATTTTACCTGTACCATTATACGTAAATATAGTTAGTTAGAGATATTACTCTGAATATTAATGGTTGTGTTAATCATTATTCGGCAGAGAAACAGATTCAGAGAACTATAAGTTTAAGATTACTTAGCGAACACTTTTGGAGTTTTGGCATTTTTAATTAAATAATAATTAAAGAGAAGCTTTTTAAAATAACAGCTTTTCTTTGCTTCCATTTATTTGTGTATTTATGCTGTTTAAAAGCTTGATATAAATCAAAACTGAAACCGAAAGTCGTTTTCATTGTATTGGTATTATTGCCTACCGTATATAAACTATGTAAAACATATATAGATATATATAGATATAGATAGATATAGATAGATATAGATAGATATATATCTAAATGCAACTTATTTGATTTGTTTTGATTCTCAACAAGATTGATGTGTACATATTATACTGTGTACATATTATACTGTGTACATATTATACTATGTACATATTATACTGTGTACATATTATACTGTGTACATATTATATCCCCCCCCCCCAGACCAGAAGGGGACTTTTGCGATATTTGAAGCTTAAGTGAGCAAACTAAAAAATGTCCAAAATTTTAATTTCTGTAAGATAAGTTTGAAGGAACGGAAGACGAAGGAAAGTAATTCTATCTAAATATGTGAATGAAAGGCCTGGGGAAAGCTTTAAAATGTCGCTGTGCAGACATAACACCTTGTCAGGACCATGAAAACAGCGCATGATTCAAGCCACACAACTGCCTGGGCCTTGAAATTCCTTCATTTACAAGTTTCTTTTAAAAAAGAAGAATTAGGAATTGACTTAATCAACAAAACTTCCACACTGTTTTGGTTCTAGATTTTTGACTATTTTTTTTTCATACATCCAGGGACCAAAAACGACATAAGCTAATAATTTCCAAGTTTATACTTAACTGTAGTGAAGGGAAGGTCAGTGGTCGGTGAAAATTCAACTTTAACTTGGGAACCCGGCGCTGCCTGGGATATTCATAGTTACTCCCGCCGTTTACCCGTACTTGTTCAATTTTACGGAGAAACTAAATATTTGCTATGAAAGTCGATTTACTCAACTTAGAATCTCAAAACAAGCTGTAAGAACATTCCCGTGGTTCTCCAGACCTCACACCAAATTTGAGACAAATCGGGGTTCTAATTGGACAATTACAAACAGACAGTAGTACCTTTATATATATTTATGTAAATAGTTATTTTTTATCAAAATTTTTTGGTAGCATTAAAAAAAACAATTTTGATTTTTCATGACCGTTTTAATGTTGTGGCTAGAGTTAAAATTATATATATACAACTTGCAAAATCTTATAGATTGAACTACTGAAAATTGCTCAAATAAATAGGGGGTACCTCAGAAGTATGGATTGCAAAATGTGAATATTAATTGTAAAAAACAGGCTCTTATCTTAAAGTTTTTGAAGGTGTGTGTGTGTGGGGGTTAAAAAACTTATTAATATTTCACCTTAAATTTAATCTCACAAGCCTGGGGGCGGTTGACCCCACTCTCTGAATTAGGTTCAACTGGTGAAAAGCTTTTATCTAAAGTTTTTGAGATAATATAAATCGATAATTAGTATTGTAGGCTATAATATGCAATGCTATGTTTGTCTATTGTCTATGTTTTATAAACGTTACAGATGGGTCACACACAAAGGATGAGACATCTGAGACGACTGCACGGAATCATTTCTTCACTCATGTATTTCAATTGTCTAAAGTCTCGTCCTTTGCGGGTTTCTCTGCATGGGAAAACAAGAAAAACTTGATTTAGAGTACTAACGCTGCTCGTTGCTCATCGAGTAAAGAGAACTATGCAACACCTGGGTATACTTTTTAACGTATCAGAGTTGTTTGAATCCTCAGGATGTAACATAAATATATATAATAAAGAAAAATATGTAAAAGGTTTAATTAAAATTTTCCATTAATCAATCAATCAAGTCATAAAGTTGAACAACTCACAAGTATTGAACGCGGCATTTTTTCTACCTTGCGCAAATAATTATTTGATTGCTACGTAAGTGTTTGATTTGACTTTGAGACAGGGACAGAGACAGCAGCTTCTTGCCTGTACTTAGACCCCTAAGATCATACGAAAAGTTTTTAGAAACATTAGTTATAGAAGGCTTCCCATTAGTCCCACCGGTTGGGTCTGTCCTAGTATACGATTTTTGGACCCCCCCCCTCCTATCAATTTTGTACATGACCATTTTATTTCAGCAAATTTATTATTATTTATTTTTTGTTATTTAGGGTTAGGTTAGGTTAAGATACTTTCTGGGCCGAGCGCTGCGGCCACGGGTTAGGTTAGTCAAGACACTTTCTGGGCCGAGCGCTGCGGCTAGGATGGGCTAGGGGGCCGAGCGCTGCGGCTACGGGTTAGGTTAAGTTAAGAAACTTCGAGTCACACCCGTGTACAAAATTGATAGGAGGGGAGGGGCCTGGGGGGGGGTCCAAAAATTGTATACTAGGAAATTACCCACCGGTTCCTACTTTTTAGATCCGAAGTTGTCTAAATAATTATGGAAAGTTTACATGATGTACTTACGTTCGTTAATAAAAACCTAATTTTAAGTTTTCAATAAAATGAATCATATTTTCAGAAGAATGCTCTGCAGTTCTTTGACCAGCGCTCAGCGCTCTGCTGCCCCCCTCCTCTCCGCTGCTGCCAGGTTACTTCTTTTTTCTTCTTCAAAAAGTTGGCAATTAATGATATATTTTGAACATTTTATCATTCGGACTTTTGTACTAAACACTTGACGTTGTCTGTTTGGTTTAACAAACTATTTTTAAAACAAATTATTTTTCTGCGCTTGATAAACCTTTATTTAGCGCTTTACATGTTTGACAAGTAGACTTTAACTCTTGACATAACTTTCTTCTGTACTTGACATAACTTTCTTCTGTGCTTGACAAACTTTCTTTTGTACTTGACAAACTTTCTTTTGTACTTGACAAACTTTCTTCTGTACTTGGCAAACTTTCTTTTGTACTTTAAAAACTTTCTTCTGTTCTCGGCAAACTTTCTTTTGTACTTGAAAAACTTTCTTCTTTTCTTAGCAAACTTTCTTTTGTACTTGAAAAACTGTCTTCTGTACTTGACCACCTTTCTTCTGTACTTGACAAACTTTCCTTTTGGACAGACACTCATTTTAAACGCTTGACAAACGTGGCTTTTAATTTACCTCGAATTTTTAAATTTAAATTTGAACTTTTGTTCAGGAATTCTTCCTTCTGGAGTGGAGTTGAGATGGGTCCTCCTGATGCCATTCTTGGAGTTTCAGAGGCTTTCAAGAGAGATTCTAATCCTAAGAAGATCAACCTTGGAGTTGGAGCTTATAGGTTTATTCTTGTTTTGGATTAAAGGGGGATTTCTTCTTGTTTGTAGACTTCAGGGGATTTTTTCTTATTTGGGGTCTTTGGTGGATTTATTCTAAATTTGGGACTTTCGGGGAATGTTCTTGTTTTGGGAAGGGGAATACAACTTGTTTGGGGAGTGGGAATTATTCTTGTTTCGGGACTTCGGGAAAAATTGTTTTCATTTTGGGACTCAGGGGGAGTTATTCTTGATTTGGGACTTTTTGGGTGATTGTTCTTATTTTGGGGCTTGAAATTCTTCTTTTTTTGGGACTTTGGCGGAATTATTCTTGTTTTATGACTTTGGGGAATTATTATTGTTTTTGGGACTTTCAGGGAATTATTTTGGAACTGGAATTATTCTTGTTTTGGGACTGGAATTATTCTTGTTTTGTGACTTTGGGAGAATTATTCTTGTTTTGGGACTTTGGGGGAACCATTCTTGTTGTGAGACTTTGGAGATTTATTCTAGTTTGGGAAATAGCGAATAGCGATGAATAGAACAAATTTGATTAAATATTCTTCTATATTTAAATTCGGTGTTGATGAATGATGATGCTCCAAACCTCACAGAGTAAAATAAAAAATATAGGTGTTAATTCCACATTTTTTAAAAATATACTTCGGTCTGGGTTGACCCTCTTCAGTTCTATATAATAACAATAATAACCATCAAAATCAATGTTAAAAAATCTAAAAAAATCCCAAGAAAGTAAACTGAAAAACAAGAAAATCGGTTTTCGAATGAAAAAAAATCAGAAACGAACTTACATTATGATATTAAAAAAGATAATTTATAAATATTCACTTTTAAGAATGTTTAAAGACAATTAGCAGTTCTTCTTTGCCGGTTCAAACGCTATTGATCAAGTTGGATCCCAGTATTTCTATCTTTCTATGTGTATCTATCTATCCTGTTATCCATTTGTCCATTTAACTGTCTATCTATCTATCTACCTATCTATCTCTATTCTAGGGATGACGCTGGTCAACCCTTTGTCCTTCCCTCTGTGCACAAGGCTGAGATGAAGATCATGAGTGCTGGTCTGAACAAGGAGTATGCTCCTATTGGGGGTGAGGCTGATTTCTGTACAGCCTCCGCTAAACTAGCCCTGGGGGAGGACAGCACTGTGGTCAGGGACGGCCTCAATGTTACTATTCAGGTCAGAGACTGGGAAAATTGTATTCCTATTTTTTAGGTTTTTATTTTATACAATAAATATTTTGAGTATAAGAGAGTAAAATGATGTCCAATAGAGTTTGTGTGTGGGGGAGGGGGGTGGTTTTGCCTTTCCTTTTTTCATTAAATTATTTCCTTTTCTTGTTCTTCAAAATATTTTATAAAATGGTCACTTGTAAGTACACATCCAGTTCCTTATTACGTTTTGATTTATTGATTGATTTATATAAAGGGAATATCTGGAACTGGTTCTCTACGTGTAGGCACTGCGTTCCTGTCTAAATGGTTCCCCGGGAACAAGACAGTTTATCTGCCTAAACCCTCTTGGGGAAACCATACTCCCATTGTTAAGCACGCTGGTATGGAGGTTGGAGGTTACAGGTACATATATAGTGGAGGTTACAGGTATATATATAATGGAGGTTACAGGTACATATATAGTGGAGGTTACAGGTACATATAGTGGTTCCAAGAAAATATATTTCTTTTTTAATATTTTTTGATTCAATTCTGAGGTGTATATTTTTTAGAATTACCCCTCCCCCCGGCCCTGGATGTTTTTTTTTTGATTTTTTTCATTATTTTGGGAATGATGAATTAGACATTAAAGCCATTTTTTCATTCTTTTTCATACTTTTCATACCCTAAAATTCATTGATCTTTCCAAATTCAGCCAAAAAGCCCAAAAAAATATTTTGGGGGAAAAAATGATTTGTCTAAAGGGGGGGGGGGAAAGATAATGATTTTTCGAGAAAATATAAACCCCCTTAATCTATACTATGTTTGTCAGGTATATTGATTCTCGGAAAATTAGTTGCTCCCTGTTTAAAATAATTTTTATCCTGGAAGCTGAGTATATTTTCATGAGTGGAGCGTTATTTTTTTTTTTTTTTTTTTCTCGCTAGATTGGGAAAATTCATGATTTTTAGGGGAAATTAATGAATTTTTGTGTAAAGAGTGTTTAAAGAATGAAAAAAAGTTGTCTTCTGATGTCAAATTTCTCTCCCTCCCCCCCAATCATCAAAAATCATCCCCCAAGGGGTGGGGTGGGGGGTAATTCTGAAAAGTATACCTATGGTGGTACAGTGTTATACAGAAAACAGTCGTCTTTGTTCAGATTTTGTAATCCATGTTTGTTAGGTATTATGATGCTGGAACCTGTGGACTAGATTTTGCTGGAGCTGTTGAAGATATTAAGAAGATACCTGAGGGATCTATTATTATGCTGCACGCTTGTGCACACAACCCAACGGGTTAGTTTCCTCAATATATCAGATTAAATTAAGAGTTTTAAGAAAAGTTATTTCGTGAGAAAAAAACTGAAATGATATTAATAAAATAAAGTGCGGTATTAGTTAGGTGTTCTTATACTAGAATGTCAACAATAACAATGATTACAAGATTACAGATTTAGTTATTGTGAAAATATTTCAGGAGTTGACCCAACAGCTGAACAGTGGAAGGAACTAAGCGAGGTTGTTAAGGCGAAGAAACTCCTTCCCTTCTTCGATATGGCTTACCAGGTCAAATAGTACCCCGTAGAAATGCGTATAAAGTTCAAACATTGGTTTATTGTAGATTCATTATGTATCCTTAGACTAAATTTTTATTTTCAATATTATTACCTACCTACCTACCAATGCCGACCCTTTAAAAAAACTTTCACAATGTTTTGAAAAATTACCTCCTTCCCCCACACACTCAGGGACTCGCAGACAACAATTATCTTTATATTATACAGAAGAAAAAAATATGTTTTTTTTTGATAAAAATATTATTTTCAGGGATTTGCTTCCGGTGACGTCGACAAGGATGCTTTTGCCGTCAGACAGTTTATTGCTGACGGTCATATGTAAGTTAATCATTTTTTTTATAAACAATTAGATTATTAACGACATTGCTATTATTATTATTATTATTATTAACGACCCGGTTACTCTCGAGTCCAGTGGGGCTGGATCTTAGCTACCTCTCTGTGTGTATTAGCCTGAGTGTACACTTGGGATAGTTTACTGATGAAGGATATTATGAGTGGATTTTAATAGTTCCATGGAAAACAAATTCTCCATTAAAATTCAGATAATATACAGATTGACCTTTGGAAGTGAAGTACATGGCCTGTACAATTAGCAAAGGATAAGCCTATCACTTTATATATTAAAACCTCGTAGCTTGAGCGGTAATATTTTGGCAGGAGTGTATATTTTCTCAAAAAATCATCCCTCTCTTTTGAAAATCATTTTCCCCAGAAGCATGTTTGCGCAAAGCATAATTTTTTTTAATGATTTATTCGCTGAATCAAGAAAAATAAATGATTTTTAATGCAAAATATTTAATTTTTGGTAATAAGTGTAAATTGGCATCCATTTTTCTTGAGAATATACCCTTTAATTTTGGCTTATCTAAAATTAGCCAAAATTAGCATGCTAATGTCCGACTTCTTTCCTATTATGGTTCAGCATCGATAAAAGTCGAATTAGAAAAAAAATGTGTTCTTGGAACGGAATGTAAACGTAGATTCAAGTGAACCCATTATAGAGTAGTATAGCTGAATCACAACAGTGTCTATAAAAGAATTGTCTTTTTCTGCTTCAGGACAATGGAGGATAATGTAAGAATTAAACACTAATGATTTGTAGCAATCACTAAACGTACCTTTCTTTAAATGGAAGTTCACTTGAAAATACGTATACAGTTCCTTTTTAAGAATTCAATTGCTTATTTAATTGTCTTAGGATTCTTCTGTCCCAATCCTACTCTAAGAATATGGGACTCTACGGAGAAAGGACTGGAGCATTCACCGTTGTCTGCAAGGTAGGATCTTAGTATAATGTACGTGTAGGGAAGTGTAACGAAAAAATGCGTCTGTGAATTGTCTAGATCTCCCATCTTCCACGAGTATTTCAACTTCTATATATTATAAAACAATAACCCAAAATTAATTTTCTTCGTAGATTTTCCAAATTTTACAAAAATCAAATGCTTTGATACAATTTTTTTATTCTGACCATGAATAAACCTTTGCTGGGGTCATGTTAGGTCCCACACAAAATTTGGGCCCGATCGGTCCAGCTGTTATAAAGTTTTTTATGCTAACCAATAAACCAACCAACAAGCAGTATAGTGTACAGTAGAAAATATCTAAATTATTATTAATGAGAAAGATGAAGCTGCTAGATTAGAATCCCGGATAGATGTTACTGTAAGACCTCTTTACAGTGTACAGTGTACACTGTACACTGTACACTGTACACTGTACACTGTACACTGTACACTGTACACTGTACACTGTACACTGTACACTGTACACTGTACACTGTACACTGTACACTGTACACTGTACACTGTACAGTAGAATATACGAAAATATTAATGTTTAGGACAAGGAAAAAGCATCAAGAGTAGAAAGCTATAGAAATATTATTGTAAGACTTCTGTGTTGTGCGCAGTAGAATATATGAAAATAATAATATTAAGGACAAAGATGAAGCAGCTAGAGTAGAATCTCCGATTAAGATTATTGTAAGACCTCTGTACAGTAACCCACCCAGGCACGGAGCCAGGATTGTTACACAGATTCTGAATACTCCAGAACTCAGGTATTTAAACATAAAATCTATATTTAGGCTGATTGATTAATTGATTAATTAAATAATTGATTTCTTGTTCTTCTTGTTCTTGTGAAGTAATTCTCCATCTTCCAAATAGGAATGTTGAGAATATCTTGATTTCTTCATGTGTGGTCTGCTATAGATCAGATGTAGCTTCAGTTTTTCTTAAATCAGCAGCCACTCCATTCTCAATGATTCTTATCATACAGTTGTTTAAACTGAACTGTATTTTTTGCATGTTTAACATCATAGGGTAAAGCATTCCATAGGTTAATAATTCTGTGTGAGAAAAAATTCTTCCTTATCTCCAGCTTAGCAACAGGTTTAACAAGATTAAGACTGTCTTGATTTAACCTTGTGACTTGTTCTCTCAAACCAACAAATTTAAACCAGGTGTTCTTGTCAACATTGTCAAATCCATTGACTATCTTAAAAGTTTGAATCATGTCTGCTCTTTTTCTTCTATTCTCAAGTGTTTGGAGATTCAGCTCCTTGAGTTTTTCTTCATATGTTGATCCCTTTAATCCAGACACAAGGTAGACTGCTCTCATTTGAACTCTTTCTAAAATATCACAATCTGCTTTTGTCCATGGATTCCAGACACTGCACAGGATGCAAACTCAAGATGACAGCGAACATATTGTTTATAGAGTCTGATAAAGGTGAAACGGTCTCATTATGTTGTAAAAATTGATTGACAATTTGATTCAAGGGATTATTAATTGATATCTAGAATATTGATGATTTTTAAATTAATATTTTTTTTCGATTTTATCTTGATCAATTAACATTACATTGAATAATTGATATTTTTGGTCGATAAAATAATATTTTTGTAAATTAGATCTGAATGGTTGGTTGATGTAAAGACGATGGCGGATCGTATTATTACAATGAGAACTCAGTTGAAAGATGGATTAACCAAGGAAGGTAAAGATCAAGTTATTTCTATTTCAACCAGGTTTACAGTAAGAATTAAAGCTTTTTACTCTTGCTTTTTAAGTCGCCATTAACATTTTTCGCGGATTTTTCTGTTTTTAATTTGTGCATTTTCAAAAATAATAAATGTGGATCCCTGAACTGGCATATTACTGACTAATTGATTGATTAGGTTCCTCCTTGAAGTGGCAGCATATTACTAATCAATTGATTGATTTGGTTCCTCCCTGAACTGGCATATTACTGACTAATTGATTGATTAGGTTCCTCCTTGAACTGGCAGCATATTATTAATCAATTGATTGATTTGGTTCCTCCCTGAACTGGCATATTACTGAATAATTGATTGATTAGGATCCTCTCTGAATTAGCAACACATTACTGATCAAGTGATTGATAGGTTCCTCCATAAACTGGCAGCATATTACTGACTAATTGATTGATTAGGTTCCTCCTTGAACTGGCAGCATATTAGTTATTAATTGATTGATAAGGTTCCTCCTTGAACTGGCATATTACTGACTAATTGATTGAACTAGCAGCAAAGTACTGATCAATTGATTGATTAGGTTCCTCCTTGAACTGGCAGCATATTACTGACTAATTGATTAATTAGGTTCCTCCTTGAACTGCAGCATATTACTGATCAAATTGGCATGTTCTGTTTCACCGGAATGAAACCTGATCAGGCAAATTATTTTATAACAATATTTCCCATGATGGAAAAAAATGATGAAAACATACTTATTTATACTTTTTTAAACGTCGCATTGCTTCATTTTTGAAACCCGATTTTCATTATATATTTTTTGTTTTACTTTTATGAGCTTGCGGACTGAGCATTCTAGCTTTTAGCCGCTGTAATTTCTCAAAGCATTTTGTACATTAGGAGATGTTTTAATTAGAGGATTTCGTACATTAGGGGATGTTTTAATTAGAGGATCTCGTACGTTAGGGGATGTTTTAATTAGAGGATTTCGTACATTAGGGGATGTTTTAATTAGAGGATTTCATACATTAGGGGATGTTTTAATTAGAGGATCTCGTACATTAGGGGATGTTTTAATTAGAGGATTTCGTACATTAGGGGATGTTTTAATTAGAGGATTTCATACATTAGGGGATGTTTTAATTAGAGGATCTCGTACATTAGGGGATGTTTTAATTAGAGGATTTCGTACATTAGGGGATGTTTTAATTAGAGCATTTCGTACATTAGGGGATGTTTTAATTAGAGGATTTCGTACATTAGGAAATGTTTAAATTAGAGGATTTCGTACGTTAGGAGATGTTTTGATTAGTGGATTTCCAACAAGTGTAATTTATTTTGAAGCAAATTCTGAATTTTGACCGGCCATAAACCTTTTTCAGCGCCGGGGTCTAGAAAAATTTCACAAAGAAAATTTGGACATGTCCTTTTCAGCCGTTCTGACGTTTATTGAATACAATCAAACCAACAAACATAAAAGCCAAATACATTTTCATATTCCCTTTACTATCTATTTTTGTAGGTTGAGAGGATTACAAAGGAGTTCTCAATCTACCTAACTAAGGTAGGTTAAACATTATAAAAAGTTTGTCTGAAAATATCCATTTTTTATATTACAATTTTCGTGCGAGATTTAAACAAAATTTATATACTTTCGTTTGAATAAATTTGTATATTTATATGTATGAAAGTTAGTTTTAGCTGGCCAAACGGCTGGACCGTTTTTATATAGTTTTTTCTTTCTGTGGGCAACACCGCTTGAGCTAGTCTTATTATTTAGGATGGACGTATCTCAATGGCTGGAATTTCAAGCTCTAATGTTGGATACCTAGCTCACGCTATGCATACTGTTACAAAATAGAGGTAAAATATTTTTCCTCCTGAGCATTCTTTTGAACAATTTCATCACATTTTGGAATTTGTATATTAGTACAACCGAGTTGGGAACATTAGAATGGGAGCCGGATCGGGTCTGAAAAAATATGAGGATCCACGGATCCGGATCCAAGGGGAAAAAATCAACCAAAAACTAAAGAAAAAAATTTACTCTCAACTCAAACCTGAAAAAAGAGATTATAAATTTTTTTTTTGATTTCTGAATGGTTCATCAAATTTGAACATAAAAATAAGCGAAAAAAATAAGAAAAAACATTGGAAAATTATGCTTTGTTAAAAAAAATTCAATAAATTTTATGGAAATAACCTGGATCCGGGTCCGCGTCAAAATTAAATGGATACTTATCACAGGTTCAGAGATTAGGAAGTTTTTAATAATTTCATTAGTTAATAGTTAAGATTTATGTAGGAAATTATAAGTGTAAAACGTTTTTTTAGCAGGTTTAGGCTATGTTTTGCCACTTGGACTATCTTAATCACTGTATAAATATGTCTTAATGATAAGATTGCTGAAAGCTCATCATTATGACATATTTGTTATTGATACCTAGATTTTAATTCTGCATTTGATGTTTATTCGAACTAAGTTTTGTATTATCTATGATAATAATGATTTTCAGCAAATTATTAATTAATTGATTGATGAAGTTCTTCCTTGGACTGCCAGCATATTAATGATCAATTGATTGATTAGGTTCCTCCTTGAACTAGCATATTACTGATTAATTGATTGATTAGGTTCCTCCCTGAACTGGCATATTACTGACTAATTGATTGATTTATTTGGCTCCTTCTTGAACTAGCAGCATTTTACTAATCAATTGATTGATAAGGTTCTTCCTTGAACTAGCACATTACTGACTAACTGATTGATTTGGTTCCTCCCTGAACTGGCATATTAATGATCAATTGATTGATTAGGTTCCTCCTTGAACTAGACCATTACTGACTAATTGATTGATTAGGTTCCTCCTTGAACTGGCAGCATATTTCTTATCAATTGATTGATTAGGTTCCACCTTGAACTAGCACATTACTGACTAATTGATTGATTAGGTTCCTCCCTGAACTGGCAGCATATTACTGATCAAATTGGCATGTTCTGTTTCACCGGAATGAAACCTGATCAGGCAAATTATTTTATAACAATTTTTTCCCATGATGGAAAATAATGATTTAAAAAATTACTTGTTTATACATATTTTTAAACGTCGCGTTGCTTCATTTTTGAAACCCGGTTTTCATTATTTATTTTTTGTTTCACTTTTATGAATTTGCGGACTGAGCATTCTAGCTTTTAGCCGCTGTAATTTCTCAAAGCATTTCGTACATTAGGAGATGTTTTAATAAGAGGATTTCGTACATTAGGGGATGTTTTATTTAGTGGATTTCGTACATTAACAGATGTTTTAATTTGAGGATTTCGTACATAAGGGATGTTTTAATTAGAGGATTTCGTACAATAGGGGATGTTTTAACTAGAGGATTTCGTACATTAGGGGATGTTTTGATTAGTGGATTTCGTACATTAACGGATGTTTTAATTAGAGGATTTCTTACATAAGGGATGTTTTAATTAGTGGATTTCGTACATTAGGGGATGTTTTAATTAGTGGATTTCGTACATTAGGGGATGTTTTAATTAGTGGATTTCGTACATTAACGGATGTTTTAATTTGAGGATTTCGTACATTAGGGGATGTTTTAATTAGAGGATTTCGTACATAAGGGGATGTTTTAATTAGAGGATTTCGTACATTAAGGGATGTTTTAATTTGAGGATTTCGTACATTAGGGGATGTTTTAATTGTGGATTTCGCACATTAGGGGATGTTTTAATTATAGGATTTCGTACATTTGGGAATGTTTTGATTAGTGGAATTTCCGACTAGTCGAATTTATTTTGGGGCAAATTCTGAATTTTGACCGGCCATAAACCTTTTTCCGCGCCGGGGTCATGAAAGGTTTCACAAAAAAAGTTGGACATGTTCTGTTCAGCCGTTCTCGCGTTTATTGAATACAATCAAACCAACAAACATAAAAGCGAAATACATTTTCATATTCCCTTTAAAATCCATTTTTGTAGGTTGAGAGGATTACTAAGGAGTTCTCAATCTACTTAACTAAGGTAGGTTAAACATTAAAAAAAGTTTGTCTAAAAATATCCATTTTTTATATTACAATTTTCTTTCGAGATTTAAACAAAATGTATATACGCTCGTTTGAATAAATTTGTAAATTTGTATATTTGTATGTATAAAAGTTAGTTTTAGCTGGCCAAACCGCTGGACCGTTTTTTATAAAGTTTTTTTCTTTCTGTGGGCAACACCGGACACTTGAGCTAGTTATTATTATTATTTAGGATGGACGTATCTCAATGGCTGGAATATCAAGCTCTAATGTTGGATACCTAGCTCACGCTATGCATACTGTTACTAAATAGAGGTAAAATATTTTTACTCCTGAGCATTCTTCTGAACAATTTCATCATATTTTGGAATCTGTATATTTGTACAACCGAGTTGGGAACATTAGAATTGGAGCCGGATCCGGATCCGCAAAAATATGAGGAACCACGGATCCGGATCCAAGGGGCCAAAAATCAATCAAAAACTAAAGAAAAAAAATTTACTCTCAACTCAAATCTGAATTATTGAAAATAGAGAAATTATAAAAATTTCCTGATTTCTGAATGGTTTACAAATTTGAACATAAAAATAAGCGAAAAAAATGAGACAAAAAATTGGAAAATTCTGCTTTGTTAAAAAAAATTCAGTAAATTTTATGGAAATAACCTGGATCCGGATAAATTTTTTTCCAGTGCGGATCTGCGTCAAAATTAAATGGATACTAAGCACTGGTTCAGTAATTAGGAAGTTTTTAATAATCTCATTAGTTAATAGTTAAGATTTGTAGGAAATTTTGAGTTTAAAACGTTTATTGAGCAGGTTTAGGTTATGTTTTGCCACTTGTATTTGGATCTTAATCACTGTATAAATATGTCTTAATGATAAGATTGCTGAAAGTTCATCATTATTACATATTTGTTATTTATACCTCTGTATTTGACATTTATTCGAACTAAGTTTATTTTACAGATGATGCTGTAAGCCTTAAGAAGACTCCTGGTAGAGCCCTCAACCCTAAACCTACCGATAGGACTAAAAAAAAATCTTCCTGAAAGGGACTGTCAGCGTAATTTCAAGTGACCTTCCATTTAAAGAGAGGCATGTCAGATTCACAGCGGTAAACTTTGTCCGTGCAACGATAAGGTAGATATCCTCATTCGTACAGCTGATGAATGAGTGCCGGGAGACTCGAGGTTACATTGTTCACTGTACACACCGTGTACTTGCGCGGGTTTTTGGCAATTAATTTCCCGCTTTATAAATCAGAATATCTACAAATACTTGATAACACAAAGAAAGGTTAAAGAGTTGTAAATCGGACATGCCACTCTATGAATGGAAGATCGCTTAAAGTTACGCGTACACTCCCTTAACGAATAAAAATGGAATTTCACCATATCCCTTGTATGTAATTATGTATGAATGGTTGCATAAACATAAAACTAGTAATATAGACATTTTTAGTAGAAATCTTACACATTGTTATAAAATATATATATGGAAAATGAAACTAAATATAATCCTGGTGAAAAAAATGACCGAAATATATTTAACAACTATATTTATATATATAGTCCTATATTTTAGTCGTATTTAGTTTCAGAAAAATGCGCGGATATTTCCGCAGTTTAAGCAACCTTGTACAGACGAATCTGCTTGGTCGTGGGACGACAGGACGAATTCTGTTCTTTTGCGGATTATTTTTGCAAATACTTAATACTACAGGAACCATTTTAAGCAATCAGAATATAGGACGGAAGGAAAAATGGAAAGAAAGGAAATTAAAAGCACTGTTAAGGATCTGGATCTGGATCCATGGATCTGCGACACTAAAGTTCCTTTAATCCAAATTCATGAGACCAAATTTCAACCAAAACGTCGAAAAATAAAATCTCGCGCAATTAAAACACACATTAATTGTGTCAACTATTGAGAAATAAAAACCTTCCTGATCATAGATGTTAATAAACATCTGCTTAAACAAAAAACGAAAACAAAAAAAATAGTTAAATTTTTTTTTGTTCAAAATTACAAACAAAACTTGAAAAAAAAACTCTATGATTAATCTGGATTTCGAATCTGCACCAAATTAAAATGTTATTCAATTTACCATTTTAGACTGCAGCCAAAAAAACATTTTCATGGGTTCCCAATTATGAATTTTTATGTTGATGATCAAAAAATAGAATAATAAAAGTACGATTTTAAATTGTAGAGATGCAGATTGCAGAATGTATACTGCTTAGGGGCTATTTTATTTAAATGCAGATCCTGGATCCGTCAGGAAGAAATGATCTTGATATAGGTGCTGAACATTTTGACAAGATTTACTGTATTTTTGAGCAAATGATAACATTTTCAAATTTTGGTTTTCGCTGAACCATTCAGAGATTATGTAGTTTTAAGATTAATCTCTTATTATTTAACAATTGAGATTTGTTTAGCAGGCTCTGATTGTTGTTTTTGTCTCTTGAAGCCAAAATTTTACGGATCCGGATCCCAGGCATCAACAAGAGTGTAAATGTTTCTGTGAATTTAAATACTATATAACTTTTCAACTTGCATACACATATTTTCATAGTCGGCATCGTCGGTAATGGTATTCACCGACACAGGGTCAAACGACCTATAGTCAGATGCCATAAGAAGTACACATTACACACTACACAATAGATTAAAAAATTAAAAGAACTAAAGTCTCTCGCTCCACAAAAATTTTAAGTTCAACTAATTATGCCATGAGTTCTGATAACGGGGTGTGCTTCTAATTGGTCCCAGGTAACTCCCCAGCCATCTCACCAAAATCAGAAAACTTTTCTTATATGCTAAATTTTATAAAGCTTGTAGGAGACTCTACTAGTGTTTTTAAATTATCTAAATATCGTAAAAAATCTTTTTTAAATACTATATAACTTTTCAACTTGCATACACATATTTTCATAGTCGGCATCGTCGGTAATGGTATTCACCGACACAGGGTCAAACGACCTATGGTCAGATGCCATAAGGAGTACACATTACACACTACACAAGAGAAAATAAAAATTTATTAAAAGAAGTAAAGTTTTTCGCCCCACACACCAGGCTGCAAAAATTTTAAGTTCAACTAATTATGCCATGAGTTCTGATAACGGGGTGTGCTTCCATCTCATCCAAATCAGAAAACTTTTCTTATATGCTAAATTTTATAAAGCTTGTAGGAGACTCGACTAGTGTTTTTAAATTTTCTAAATATCGTAAAAAATCTTTAAGCCCTTTTAACCCCTCCTGTATTAGTGTAAAAATTAGTTAGTTAAAAGAACAGTTATTTTAAGTCTGATTTGAGAATTCAAGCAATATTTTTTCTTGCCTATAGCTTGCTTGGAACTGGAGACTTGACTGGTATGATTTCAACCAATTAATCAATAATGCTTGAGAAGAAAAGTTTTCTAATTTTGGTGAGATAGGTGGGGATTTACATGGGACCACTTAGAATCACCTTCCGCTGTCAGAGATGATTATTTGAACTTAAAAATCTTGCAGCCCTGGTGAATTCCGCCCTAAAAAAATCTACCATAGGGAAAAGATTAAGTTTATTTGACATCTGAACGTGTCAAAATCCACCACCCACCTCCCCAATACGCACTGAACAATGCAGAGTATTAATTTCTAAAATCGTTTTCTACAATGGGATTTCCTTGGTCTTAGAAAGGTGAAAAACTAGCCACTTTATACAGGGCCCTCAGGGAAAAGTTAATACCACCTACTTCTCCATGGCCTGGAGAGGAGGTAATGACGAGGCTGAGAATGACTAGTTTAGTTCATTGTTTAATTTTCTTTGGAGTAAATTATTATTCAAACAATTTACTTTTAATTAATATCATAGATTTCAGTCACCACACAATCACCATAAATGAGTAAATGTATCATTTTTAGTGCTGTAAACCTCCCAGATAATCAATATTATTGATATTAGTGCTATAAACCTCCCAGATAATCAATATTATTGATATTAGTGCTGTAAACCTCCCAGATTATCAATATTATTGATTTTAGTGCTGTAAAGCTCCTAGATAATCAATATTATTGATATTAGTGCTGTAAACCTCCCAGATAATCAATATTATTGATATTAGTGATATAAACCTCCCAGATAATCAATATTATTGATATTAGTGCTGTAAACCTCCCAGATAATCAATATTATTGATATTAGTGCTGTAAACCTCCCAGATAATATACTATTATTGATATTAGACAACATTTCGTAATTTTAAGTGCAAATCAATATGAGCGTGAAGAAAGCCGAAAGGGCTAAGATTAGAAAAATTCTTTTTAAGATGGGTTAAGATTAGAAAAATTCTTTTTAAAAAAAACCCCCCAAAACACTTCAATGGAGTAGGGTTCATTGATTGATTTCTAAGACTACTGAATAGTGTACAAGCAGGGTTTATTATTTACCAAAAAGTTTTTAGTGTTTCTTTTTTTAAAAAGAAATTAACTTTTAAATTAACTTTTAAGTAAAAAGTTATCAAAAAACTTGAATTTTGATGTTTTTTTTTTCATTAAGCTTCGATAGTAAATTTATTTTGATTTTTGTTTATAATTCATGAAAATATATATCCCTGTTTATAAATATAAATTGATTTCTTTAAATGGTTGATAGCAGGGTTTAAGACTGGACTTGAGAGAGGACTAATCTGTAATCAATGTATTGGTACTCATCCTGGTTGCAGTATATTCAACTATAATTGGTAATAAACAGAGCTGAGGCAGAATTTTATGAATTTAAACCGCGTCGCTGAATTTTATGAATTTAAACCGCGTCGCTGAACCGCCAATCACCGGTTCAAATTAAGCGCTGGCTCAAATATCGAAATTGAAGTTGAAACAACGATGTTTGAGCCGCGTCTAGACGCGGTTCAAATTTGTTTAATTCGGCCTCTGATTAAAATAATAATTTTAGTTTGGAATTTGTGAAGGTGGTTTAATTTTTGTATTATCATTGTTTATGCTGAATATTGAAGTTTGAAAAATACTTTGGCTCTTTAGCCTAAAGTGCCAATTGAACATTAGAAAATTTAACAAGTGATTTTTACAGAAAATCAGATAAAGCTGTGATATTTCACAAAAGGATTAAAATTAATAGAACATTTTTATATATTCATATTTTACCATCTTATAAAAACTATTTTCATCAAAAATGTCATAATCAGAAAGACCAGGAATTAATTGACAGTTAATCAGTAGATTTTACATATATATCTCTGGCAATTTTCAATGCTCAAAAAGAGGCCGACAACATTCCGGATCTTTCTGGTTAGCATTGTATGTACTACTAGCTGAAGGGGCCGGCGTTGCCCGTGAAAAAAAAGTTGAAAGAAAATTTTTATAAAAATATTGGGGGAAAAAATTCGAAATTTTCAGCCTATTACACCCCCTGGCCACCCAAAAGTGTCCACAAAAAAATTCAGCCCAATCGGTCCAGCCTTTTTGCCGGGTATACGCATCATATATATAAATGAATGTCTTGTTTTATTATATGTACTATATGTAGTTGTAATTTGTCCTCAAGAAAACAGGTTACTGTAAGATAAATAAGTTGATTGGGAGAGGNGGGGGGGGTAATTTACTCCAATTCGATTTTAATTGTAAACTTTGTTATCAGGCACTGGGGAGTGGAGTGTGGACGAAGGTTTGATAAATGCGTCAAGCTAATTGAAAGACGAGGTTCAGATACATTAATCACTAGAGATTGCTTATCAAACCTAGAGGCTTTCAGGTAATTAAAAAGGGGTATTTTCAGGTAATTAAAAAGGGGTATTTTTTGTAAAATCCATTTTTTAATAATAAAACTATTAGTCGCTCTTTTACTTCGAATGAAAAGTTAACTCTCCAAACCTTGTCCCAAATCAAGTCTTAAAAATTGAAAATCTTTGAATAAAATTGTAAAAATCTGTAAATTGCAAACATATAATTACACATGTGATGTATATCAAATATTAGAGTATAAATACATTCTTTTTGGTAATTTTTGATAATTTAAATTATTCTTTAAAAAGCAGGCCACATTTTAGACACTCGGGATTCTTTTTTTGACAAAACCAAATAGATAACAAAAATTTTGCTAAAATAAGATTAAAGAAGTCTAGTTTTTTTTTTACATATTTAAAAAAAACTTTCTGATTAGAGTTGATATTCCGGCGGACAAATATGAAGGATGTCATGCTGCGAGTTCAGATCCAAAACTGGGTGTTTATGTTCAGAACAGGTAATTATCTTCCTCTAAAGGCATTTTACTAAATATTCAACTTTTGTTATTGTTGTAAATGGTTAAGTAAATGTTATTGCTTCTATCACTGAATAAGGGAAACCAAATCTTTTTTTGGTAAATATTAGGAAAATGGGAAAAAACTTGCCATTTGATAGTCTCTAATTTATTTTTTCATCCTCTTCATATCTTCCAAAAACAATTTTCCGGATGTTATTACTTCAAAATATATATCCCTGATCATTTTCAAAGAAAATATTTGAAATATGTATTATTGTAGTATACCTGAGCTGGATATAAAGAGAAGATACTACAGCAATGTAACCTGGTGCTTCTGTAGTTTTGATCATTGGTGCAATTCATCCCGTCCATTCTCATCCTCGATCGTTCTCATACTGGTGGCTCTCAATTCAACCTTGATGACATGAGTCTCATACATCTATTTATCCCAACTATACTCATCCTCTCTATGATGAGAATACATCCCATTCATCTCCATCTACATTCATCCTCATCCTAGCTGCTCTCATCCTAACCGTATTCATCTAAGATGTCAGGATATTTCATCCAATGAAACCTCTTTTCCCATCTCTCATCCTAGCTGTGATTTCAAGAGATTTAACATGAAAAACTTATCATTGTGAGATGCAAGGAGTGCCCAACTCTGACAACAGCTTGTGTCACGTGATTGACAGCTGCAAGATCTTCGGCTCGACTTAAGGAGTTAGGCCTAATGAAAATAAAATCGATCTTAGTTGGTTTTAGTGGAAAGGCTCAATGTTGAGTCTTGTTCTAATAAGAACCCAGAATGCGCCAATTCCTACCATAAATTCCACCAAATAGAATATTTAACTGTTTTTTTTGAGTTGTATCCGAAAGCTCAAGCTGTAAATAAGGCCCAACGACAGCTTAGACTTAAGTCGTATTATCTTGAATTTTCTAAATCGCCGGCTCAGGAAACAAGAATATAATAAATTTTCATTGAGAATTTGAAACGCTTTGATCGTTTAAACTTTCATTTTTACATTTGCAAGAAGTCAAAAATTTATATCATTAGGAAGTTATTAACGTTTTGTCTTTAGAGACATTCTTGTGCATCAAGATAGGATTAATTGTGTTTATTATTAAAAAAATATAATATATTGACTTTTAAAAACATAAACAATCCTTTTTAAAATAATTGCAATGCGAGCAGTTTGTTTCAAACCAAATATCAGTATTTAATAAACTAAATACTTAATACTTACTTGGAATACTTGATGAGTTATCCCCAGGACTCCAGGTAGGAGCATAACGGGAATTTCAGTTAGGTCCTCTCGGAGAAGTGATCAAGTCCTCTAAATTTACGTCCTCCTTGTGTAACCTCTTCCACACTAATCCTGGCATAGTAGTTCAAGTAATCAGTATTTAATGTTGCCTACGTATTATTTCATTTGTGTATTCTGAAAATTTTTTTAAGCTGCTTTTTGTGACGGACACATTTTTATTGTTTATAAAACCGCGTTCAGAGATCCTTTAAATCAATAGGCTTTACAGACTTGTTTTTATTCAAACTGCTTCGGTTTCCAATATTCATTTTATTTTCAATCCGATGATTGTTAAAAAAAATTAGATTGATGGCATTGTGATAAATTGTTATTTCTAGTCCAAACACCAGTAGTCAGTAAGTTAATAAATTGAATAGGATAGTAAATTTTTAGAAACTTGGGTACCCTGAAGCACTTAGTCAGATTAGGAATAAATGAGAAATCTATGAATTAATTGCGTTGATTGATTGATTGATAATCGTTTATTTCTATAAGCCTTATTACTGGTATCTTAAATCATGAATTAATTGCAATTTGGTTTCTCTTTTAAAATGACGTTTGGACATGTGCTACAGGAATAGGTCCGAAAAATTACTTTCAAGCTAAAATACAGGATTTAATCCATACCGCACCGTCCCTTCAAGTGTGATTTTTACTCTAGTATATAAATTCTGTTTTGTGATATTATATCTAGTATTAATTATTTTTGTGATAAAATTGAAAAGCATTGTGATAAAATAACGAGTTGTTTACACGACACCAAAGATTTTTGTGATCATGTTTTTGCACGTTAACGTTTTAGTTGAATTGATTTTGAAGTTTGCATTTTTTTGTAGACACTTTTTTCCCTTGTGATTTCCCTTAAAAGATAATAATATTTCCTGATAAATTTATTATTTTTAATTTTTGTTCTTAAGTTTAAGTTTTAAATTTTACATAAGAATTAGTAATATTTTGTGCCATTCACATTATATATGATTAACTCCAGGCCTCTATCCACACGGTGGTGTGCACTGTGTAGTGCTCTGAAGGAAGTCTAGGGGTTCCACAATGGGTTCCCTTTCAGATTTAAACTTGATTTGATTTGATTTGATATGATTTGATGTTTTGTAATTTGCTTTAGCACCAGTGATAATATGATTGCTCAATTATTTATAAAAATGGTGGAATTTAAAATTTAAAAAAAAGTCTATCAATGATTATCTTAATTTAATTTTTGTTATTAGATGTTTATTTGAAAAATCAATTTTATCCTGTCAGCTTCAGAAAGCAGAAATTTGGGAATAATGACCGGGTTTTTTTTTTTTTGAAAAATCATCACCTTCCTCCCACGTCACCTTGAAAAAAAATTTGTTTCTTCCCAGAGGATAGGTATAGTTTTAGGGAAAATAAATGAATATTTGGGTAAAAATATCATAAAGAAAAAACTTGCCTTTTGATGTCTTTCCCCCCCCCCCCCCCGAGCATTACAAATTTTTCCTCTCTAGGGGCGGGGTGTAATTTCTGAAAAAAACCTTGAATTATGATTTAAAATTTAAAAAACGAACTTTTTTCCTTTTTGTGATTGAAGCCTTTTACGCCAGTAAAACATTAAAGCAAGATATTTTTTTGTTCACCAAAAAATTAATAAGAGCTTGAAATAAATTTGTGTCCTAAATAATTTCTTTTAGAATGTTTTTAAACATTGTTACTTTTGGTTTCAGGTAAAAATAAAATGGCGGATCTTGACGGGGGAGAAACAGTAGAAACAAAATGGAAGACTTTGAGTTTAACTTACGTGGAGTATCCGGAGGGTGATAAGGTAAACAGTCGGACCCATAAATTATGTAATGTGAAGACGACCTTTGTGTATATTTAATGTTGTTATAAGCAAATAGTGTTACAAGTAGCTTTAACATCAACATTTTAATTAGAAAGGGGTCCGTTTACTGTGTACAGTACAATGCATATTTGCATAATTGGTGTATTTCATGGGTGGACTAATTTCCAACCCCAGTTTTACTATCTCCAAGAGCGATAATCCTTTTTAACAAATATGGACAATTTACACATAAAGTCGTCTTTCTTTACGTCAGTTTAACGCGTCCCACTGTAGTGCACTCACAAGAACAGTTTTTTTTCAATCTCATTCTGTGTTTTAAATCGCGGCTCAAAGTTCATATTTTTTAGGGAAAGATTTTTTCTCGCCATTTTTTTCACAATGATGTGTATTGTCTATTGTATTGTATAGCTAGGAATGATATGTATTGTATTGTTTTGTATTGTATAGCTAGGAATGATGTGTATTGTCTATTGTATTGTATAGCTAGGAATGATGTGTATTGTATTGTATTGTATTGTATAGCTAGGAAGGATGTGTATTTTGTTGTATTGTACAGCTAGGAATGGTGTTTGTTATCTATTGTATTGTATAGCTAGGAATGATTTGTATTGTATTGTATTGTACAGCTAGGAATGGTGTTTGCTATCTACTCCCTGACTCCCCTGGTGATAGTGATTATCCTAGCTACTCTGTTCTTCTCTAGGCGGGATATCCACACCTTCACACTAGGGTAAGGAGACTTAAAGGGATGGGGCACGTATTTTAAAGTTACCTTTCATTTATTAAGTGGCATATCCGATTCGTAACTGAACCCTTAAAACATCTGTTTGATCTAGAACGACTTAGGATTCCTTATCCATTGTAATTAAGAAAAAGCCTTTAAATCGTCTTTGATCCTTTACATTATTTGCTGCATTCATTAGTCAACATACTGTAACAAGTTAACCTACTTTTACATGAAATTCTTCATATCTCCGATAATTTTCTGTAAGCGGGTATCACTTAAAATTACGTCTCTTGTCACTTAATATGAATTATTAATGTCTTGAAATGTCGAAGTATGGCCTCCCGGGGTATAGATCTTAATTAAATATCATCATTGATCAGTCTAAATTGTTACACACTCTCTAGTATATCTGAGAAGAGGGTTACATGATCTAGTATATCTGAGAAGAGGGTTACATGACAGTTACATGCTAGTTTTTTCCCTATACTACAATGGGAGGAATGGGGGGGCAGAGCCGCCATGAGCCCTGCAAAATGACCTTCGGGGTTAAGGAATTTGTGAAAATAAGAAAACAAAAATCTATTTTATTTTGTTGAGATTGTTGAAAAAAGTTTTTTTTTATGTAAAATCCAAATATTTTTATTGGTGACCAAAATGCGGCGCGTGGAGACAGAATAGTGTAGGCTTGGAGACATAGCGAGATGCATGGAGGCGGTTTTGTTAGCCTTGGAGGTCATTCTGCAGATCAGAAGGCTCCGGAGTCCGGATGTCATTTTGCGGGGCTCATGGTGGCCCTTCACCCCCCTCCTTCACAATGGTCAACTAGATAACGATACCAAATGTGTGCGTCCTAATTATCCACTTATCAGATTAGCATCTTACTGTCTTAAGTGAAACATCTTGTGGCGCAAACTATCCTTAAAGTACGTCATTAGGACAGACATGGGACAGACCTTGTTCATACAAGAAACGTTCCAAAGGGGCCGCAGTGTATACTGTACAGTGTACACACTTCAAATTGTACAACGGTTTGTGTACAAAGTTACGTGGAGTACATTTATGTTACAGAGTAGTTTAAAAAAACTGGTTTCAAAGTATTTTGCGTACATTTGATTTTAATTCTCATATTATATCCAACTAGGTCTAATTTTGTCTAATTTCAAAATTTATTCTTCATCCAATCACTCCATTTGCAAGCCTAAAATATTGTAATTGTAATTAATTTATAAATGGCATGAACATCATAATGTATTTGATAGAAAATATCCCTAATTCTGATCACTTTTACCTTTCAATACTGATTTACAACGGTATCCTTAAATACTTTGTCTTTTCAAGTATGAATAATATATACATATTTTTGTGGTTGAAAACTGTTTAGTTCAGGTTCTCTACAAATACGACTTGCGCATTTTTAATATTCAGAAACAAGAAATTTACAGAATTAAATAGTATTAAAGCTAGAAAAACGATGTTATATTATACAATTTTATTAAGGTTTCAAGGGTACCGTTTAAATCGGCCAGGCCCCTCTTTAAAATGAGGATTACTTGAAATACAATGACACTCCTGACTACCTTTAACTATGCTGTTAGGTGTTCAGAACTACTTCTGAAATATTACATTATTTATTACATGCATTATCTAGCTTAATTTTCATTCAAAATTAGTTTCTAGATTGAACTAAATCTGGAAAAATTCACAAGTAGTTTAAAAGAAAGCCTTTAACTGAGAGTATCATCGGTAGTTTAAATTGCATCCTGCAACCAACGCGTTTCCCGACTCTCTAGCACCCTCGTACGTGAAGCATTCTGGCTGGCAAGCACATTTTGGATGTTTATAAGATAATAAAGATATCTCATCATCAAAAATTAGACTATGCTCTTTGAGAATATGAGATCGCTTCGGACAACATACAGAGTACAACCTGGTCATGCATCTTGAACCATCTGAAATGAAGTTTCAGTGTAGCTTAAAACTGACCCAACCTGACGATAAACTGATAAGCCCTGTTGTAGGAGGGAGGGAGTGCAGAAGTCCTCAACGGGTAATCACTGCCACCCAAATGTGTTTTGCGGCATGCGCGCTTTTTAATTGGTAATCTCCTCCCCTTTATTTGGAAATAACTGTAAATCTTGTTTTCTGAGATTTCAATTTATTGCATTTTTAACACAATTTTCTATCCGTGTTTCATGGTATCTGTATTGACATAAATAGATTTTTAATTTGTTTTCAGATTTGTTTGGTCAACAAAAACTGAGAAACAAGGCATAGGTTATTTTAGCCAAATCTTGGATACAAATTGCTGATTTAATGATTAATTATTGGTTAAAGTTTCATCTCTAAATCGGTAACATTTCTGGCTGAGACAAGTCAGGTCTCAAGCCAGGCTGGATCGGTTCTACACCAAGTAAGACCAGACAGGAACACAGGTAGTCAATGCAAACGGGCAGTCAAAGCAGCAAGCACAGGTTTTGGGGTGATCCGGGGGGGGGATGGGGGGGCATAGATTGTCATATGAGTCGTTTATTTCAAACTAACATAATTTATAGTTTTTATTATGTTCATTAAAGATGTGACATATAAGGAGTTTAAAACAATAACATTCAGAGGAAATTTCCGCAAATATTCTTAAAGCCAAACCTGAAATTAAAAAAACGTAGTTTTATTGCTAGCGCTTCATGTGACATATTTAAAGATTTATTTTCGAAACTGAGGATCAATAAAGAAAGCTTTAACAATATGGTACACCATAGGGCCATTAACAGAGGTTAATATGGTCTTATTTCTAAGAAATAAACGATTTACTGTTACGCTTTTTTGTCAGATTACCAATTGAGGTAGTAGAGATTTCCAATTAAGGAGCGCACATGCCACAAAACACGTTTGGGTGGCGGTGATTACCCATTGAGGACTTCTGCACTCCCTCCCCCCTTGTTGTACACTGCCGCGTTTAATTGTCAAAATTTGTTAATTTAGAATTGGAGTAATTTTGAATCACATTCTAAACCATTTCCTGAAGCACTACTTTGCCGAGGCTAGACCAATCATCAGAGATGTCGTCTTCGAGGCAAGTAATTAATAATTGTATACATTAAAGGGGCTCACAGTGTGGTTGAAAGACCTCTAAGAGAAATCCCATGTAATTTTTTTTTGAGATTCTGAAAGAGCTCATCAAGATGAACATTTTGCGATATGTCAGCACTTTTTCCTTTAGAGAATTTTTCCGCAATTCGCATATTTCCAAAGTATTGTTTTTTTGACATTTGTAGGTAAGGTCCTTACTTGGAAAAATTTGGAAAAATCTATAAACTCATATTCTTTCTTTTTTGAACTTTTTTTGTTTTCAATTCTTTGTGGGTTAAGTTTTGTTGATATGAAATATATCAAGGAGAAATCATTTTAAAACTTTTACATTTAAATTTTTAGAGTGAAGGGTAAAATAGGATTTGAGGGAAAAAGAAATGAGTGCAAGCTAAGGACAAAGAAAAAACTAAAATGAAGGATAAAATGCTTAGAGGAATAAAAACGTAAGGATTTAGAGTAAAGGAGAAGAAAAGGTTTAGAGTTAAGAATAAGTAATGATTTACAGTAAGAGATAAGACAGGTTCTGAGTAAAGAATTAGAAATGGTTTACAGTAAAGGATAGAAAAGGCTTGGAGTAAAGAATAAGTAATTATTCAGAGTAAAGGATAAGGAAAGGTTGTGAGTAAAGGATAATGAAAGGTTGTGAGTAAAGGATAACAAAAAGAAAAGTATAAGAAATGAAAGGTAAGGAAAGGTTAAGAGTAAAGGTTAAAAAAATTATTAAGTGAAGTATAAGGATAGATTCAGAGTAAACAATAAGAAATGATTTAGGTCTATAAAAGAACATGTCTAGGGCAAGGAAAGAAAGGGGTATGAGAAAAGGATATTAAAGAGTTTTGAGAAAGTGAAAATAAAAGGTTCAGAGTAAAGGGTTAACATAGACTCTCAGACACATTCATATTTGCTTTATGTAGGTCTACACCAAGAGGAAATATAACTTCACAATCCCTATCCCTTTTCTTATTCTTAATTCTAAATTTTCCTTATAATTTCCTATAAACCTTTCCTCATCCTTCACTATAGAACTCTTTCTAATCCTCTACTCTTAATTCTTTATTAGCCTTTCCTCCAAACCTTTCCATATCTTTCAGTCCTAATGCTTTCTTTATCCTATTTACTCCTGAACCTTTTATTATCCTTCGTTCTAAGCCCACCCTCATCTTTTACTCTAAACACTTTAACATCTTATGCTCTTGACCTATCCCTTTTCTTACTCTAAACCAATTCTCATCCTTTAGGGTCTATAGTAAAGATTAGATAAAGGTTTAGAATAAAGGATATGGGAAGAAGGTCTTGAGCTAAGGACACGGAAATGTTTAGAGTAAAGGATAAGGAGTAAGGACAGGTTTAGAGTAAAGGGTAATGGGAAATGTTAACAGTAAAGGATAATAGGGAAGGTTTAGATTAAAGGATAATGGGAAAGGTCGAGAGTAAATGATGAGGGGAAAGGTCAAGAGTATATGTTAAGGGGAAAGGTGTAGAATATGGAGAATGCAAAGGATTAGAATAAAGGATTGGGAAAGGTTTTAAGGAAAGGGAAAGCAAAAGCTCTTGGACTTTAAGCAGGTCCTCTCTGGGAGAAAATGCAACTGGAAATCTACACAAATTCAATTGCACCATCCGTACACAATTCAATTACATCTTGTTTTAAATAATTCAACTTTAGTTCTGCTTAATTAAATTATGATGTATTTTTCAGGGTCACGGAATGCCTTCCAACCACAGTCAGTATATGTGGTTTGTTTCCACCTACCTTGTTCTATTTCTTAAGTATAGATTGCATCATATTGGGAACTGTATGGAAACTATTTGGAAGGTAAATAACCCTCAAATATTATTTTCAAGACATCTAGATTTTTTTCAGGATCTCAAAAAAATCTTGCTTTGTTGTTGTATTTTTTATGTGATAGTTGGGGTAAGAACATCAAGCTCAATCAGAGAAAACAAATCCCGTACTATCAACAAATGTTGGTTAGATGCCCTTAAAATCGGCGTTGGGACATTTCATAGATAACAATATCATAGATAGGACATTTCATAGATAAGACTTTTCATAGATAGGACATTTTATAGATATTTTCGTAGATAAAAAATCTCCTCTGTGTCTATGGAAAAACTTCTGTCTATGAAATGTCTTATCTATGAAATGTCTCATCTGTGAAATGTCCTATCTATGAAACGTCCTATTTATGAAATGTCCCAATGGCCTTAAAATCTAATTTCGAATTCTGATAATATTTACAAAAGATGAAATTATTTCAATTTCTACAGGATTATCCATTAAGTATCAAACTTTCAAGACTCTATCAAAATCTTTTTTATTATAAAATATAAAGATTAAATTTTTCGTACCTTTATTTCAGGGTTTGATATTTTGGAAGAAGGGCGCCTTTCAAACTCGGATTTATTTTGCTTCCTGTAAATATCCCTTACATTTATTATTATTTTTTCAAGGTGTTCTGTGGTCTCCTTATCCTAGCTTCAGCAGGACTGATGGCCTACTCTAGGGTATACCTGGAGTACCATACTGTTTCCCAGGTAAACTAATGGAATCCTACTCTAGAGTATACCTGGAGTTCCATACTGTTCCCCAGGTTAGCTAAAGGACTCCTACTCTAGGGTATACCTGGAGTTCCATACTGTTTCTCAGGTTAGCTAAAGTAATCTTACTCTAAGAGTATACATGAAGTACCATAATTGTTTCCCAGGTAAACTAAAGTAATCCTTATCTAGAGTATACCTGGAGTACCACACTGTTCCCCAGGTAAACTAAAATAATCCTATTCTAGAGTATACCTGGAGTACCATACTGTTCCCCAGGTAAACTAAAGTAATCCTTCTCTAGAGTATACCTGGAGTACTATACTGTTCCGCAGATAAACTAAAGTAATCCTACTCTAGAGTATACCTGGAGTACCATACTATTCCCCAGGTAAACTAAAGGACTCCTACTCCGAGTATACCTGGAGTACCATACTGTTCCCCAGGTAAACTAAAGGACTCCTATTCTAGAGTATGCCTGGAGTACCATACTATTCTCCAGATAATCTAAAGGACTCCTACTCCGAGTATACCTGGAGTATCATACTGTTCCCCAGGTAAACTAAAGTACTTCTAATCCAAGTATACCTGGAGTACCATATTGTTCCCCAGGTAAACGAGAGGATTCCTACTCCGAGTATACCTGAAGTACCATATTTGTCGTTAATTGGATACAAACAAACGAACAAACAAACAAAGAACTTAGAGTTTATAGATAGATGGTATAAAAACAATAATATATATTTATTACGCGCTTGCTGGACTTTTTTTGACCTCCTCTAATACTGGTTTAAAAGCACATTCGAACACTGGTATTTTAAAAGGTTCGAATTTTGATTTAATTTCAGTTTCTGATTCTGATTGTATTTTAGTCACTTGTTGAGAAATGCATTATTGAAACCAAGTTTAATCCATTTTACCGAAACACATTTTTTTTTTTTTTTAGGTGGTATGGGGCTCTGTGATTGGTGCATTTTCTGCTTTAGGAAACCCATCCGTTTTTCAACACACATTTAAATTCAATTTCAATTTTATTAACAATTTTTCAGGCACGAAACTATTTTTCTAATATTTAGAAAATTAACCTCTGAAAAAAAGGGAATTCAGCCAGTATGAAAACATACAGGGTAACCCACAAAGAATGCAGCTTCAGAGACGACTGTACGGAATTTAATTTGCCTGTTTCCTTATATTCATGATTCCCTGCAACTGTAAACTTTTTTGTTTCTTTGCCAAATTATTAGATAAGCCATTAGAGACAGAATACATAATTTAACCTTGGCATCGTCACATTTATAGTCTCGTCCTTTGTGGGTAACCCTGTATATGGAAAAACTCAGTCTTGTTATTTGATGGGTTGATTTTAGTTTGGTTTCTGATAACCCATTATATTTTTACTCCATTCTATCCAACAATTGTTGGGTGGAGGATTTCAGAATTCTTTTTAGTCAGGTATATTTCATTTCCAACTTTTTTATTTCGCAATTTTTTGTGCTTTTTTGCGCTGGTCTCTGACATTTGATCTCACTTTACTAACTGCGCGATTTCGCAAATAAGTTCCCGAAAGCTGCAAAAAATCATTATTTTATCGGTATTATGATAAAAAAAATCTGTTTTTGCGTCCTTTTGATAATCAACAAAAATAGATAAAAACTTAAGAGCTTTATTGAGAGAAAATAATTTAATTGTCTTCTAATTTGAAGAGTGTTATTAAAATTGTTTGTTAAAATAAATGATAATACGTTTTACTTAACTAAATAGATATTATGAGCTCTTTATAAGCAAAGATAAGAAAAACAAAGATAGATTGAGTACAATAGTGTTGTTTAATCAATGTTTAGCGGTGTTAACGATAACTGAATAATATGAAAGAGTTCCTCTTGATTTTTGGTTGTTGGAAAAGTTCCAGAAAATTATAACAAGTCATTCTGCTTAGTTTAAGCTTGCTCTGTAGCAAGTAACATTCTGCTTAGTTTAAGCTTGCTCTGTAGCAAGTAACATTCTGCTTAGTTTAAGCTTGCTCTGTAGCAAGTAACATTCTGCTTAGTTTAAGCTTGCTCTGTAGCAAGTAACATTCTGCTTAGTTTAAGCTTGCTCTGTAGCAAGTAACATTCTGCTTAGTTTAAGCTTGCTCTGTAGCAAGTAACATTCTGCTTAGTTTAAGCTTGCTCTGTAGCAAGTAACATTCTGCTTAGTTTAAGCTTGCTCTGTAGCAAGTAACATTCTGCTTAGTTTAAGCTTGCTCTGTAGCAAGTAACATTCTGCTTAGTTTAAGCTTGCTCTGTAGCAAGTAACATTGTGACAATTTGCTCTACAAAGATTTCTGTGTATTTAAGTGTTTATATGAAGTTTATAAAAATTCCTCCCATTTAACACACGTACATCAAGAACTTCCCAAACTGCATTTTATGGACTTTAAATTATCCTAGGTCATGACGTCGTCTTTGTATAACTTTTTTTGAAAATATTTAGAAACTAACTTAACCACTGACTGTTAATTTGAAACTATTTTTCTTTTCTCTTATTAACAATGTTAACAATAAAACTTTTTTTCAGCTTCGTTTTATGAACTCAAAATTATCCGTAATCTCAAAGTCGTCTTCGTATTTCAACATATTTTAAAAATATTTAGAGGCTGACTAACTACTGTTAATTTGAAACTATTTTTCTTTTCTCTTATTAACAATGTTAACAATAAAACTTTTTTTCAGCTTCGTTTTATGAACTCAAAATTATCCGTAATCTCAAAGTCGTCTTCGTATTTCAACATATTTTAAAAATATTTAGAGGCTGACTAACTACTGTTAATTTGAAACTATTTTTCTTTTCTCTTATTAACAATGTTAACAATAAAACTTTTTTTCAGCTTCGTTTTATGAACTCAAAATTATCCGTAATCTCAAAGTCGTCTTCGTATTTCAACATATTTTAAAAATATTTAGAGGCTGACTAACTACTGTTAATTTGAAACTATTTTTCTTTTCTCTTATTAACAATGTTAACAATAAAACTTTTTTTCAGCTTCGTTTTATGAACTCAAAATTATCCGTAATCTCAAAGTCGTCTTCGTATTTCAACATATTTTAAAAATATTTAGAGGCTGACTAACTACTGTTAATTTGAAACTATTTTTCTTTTCTCTTATTAACAATGTTAACAATAAAACTTTTTTTCAGCTTCGTTTTATGAACTCAAAATTATCCGTAATCTCAAAGTCGTCTTCGTATTTCAACATATTTTGAAAATATTTAGAGGCTGACTAACTACTGTTAATTTGTAACTATTTTTCTTATCATTTACAATAAATCTTTTTCTGGTCTGTGTTTTAAGGACTCACATTATCTGTAATCTCAAAGTCGTCTTCGTATTTAATCTTATTTTGAAAATATTTAGAGACTGTACGAGTATACCAAACATCATGTGGTTCGAATTCTTGAATACCCGAGCCGAGGCGCATTCAAGAAAGAAGAAAGAGAGAAAGACAAAGTAGTTCTTAATCCAATGGACACGGAAAGTTAATGGAATTTATGCTTTTAACGTATTTTTTTATTGAGTTTAATTTCTATTCAAATGCTAGACTGGGACTTTAGAAAGTATTAACACTGGCAGACAGGGCTTATTCAGGAATTTGTCTGGGAGGGGGGAGGTCTTGAACTTTTTTCTTTACAGTGGAGGGAGGGGTAGGGGGGGGGTTTCAGAACCCTTTGGGGACCTGAAAACTCTCTGAAATCCATAGATTTCACAGGTCCACAGGCCTTAGCTTCCATAGCCCCTCCCCCTGAATAAGCCTCTGCTTGCAGAAGACGATATATATGATTTTAAATCCTAATCTGTGATTTTTTTCATCACGCTGTTACTTAACTTCTCTAAAGGGACTGAAGGCGTAATTTCAAGTGAATTGTATAGCTTGTTTGATTCACAAAGGCACCATTTAAACCTTTGTTTAAGCTTATCTCTCTTAACATGTATGGTCACTTGAAATTACGTTTATTGTTCCGCCTTTACGCCTTTCTTGTTCATGAAAATAATTTTGTTCTCAGATCATAGAATTCATGACTATAGCATATTTTATAATGCTTTGTAAATATTAGAGCCTGCCTGAATTTTAGCTATACACATTCAAAACCAATCATGACATTTTTATGCTTACTAAATGAAACAGGTATGTTTTAGTTAGTTAATATCTCTTTTTTGATGAGTGAACATCCCTTTCTTAGTTTTCTGACGTTTAAATTATTAAAAATCACAAAATCATTTTTTTTTCATAGCTTAACAATCTAGAGTTTCGCTAGTTTCTAGTAGATTTCTAGTTTTTTAACTTTAACAATAATTTATTGATTAAAGGGTGTGGGCACACGCTCACACATACACATAAAACGATACATTAGTAAACCTGATTCCAATGTGTTATTGAGATCTTTCTATTGTTTTATTTTGCCCAAGATCCGATAAGAGTTATGTTGCATTGTTGTCCCAAAAAACTTGACCATGGGTATCAATATTTACCATAGTGAACACTTTTTTTACGCGTGCTGATTTTGCTTCCTGTTTTTCCTTAATCTTAACTATTAGGTTTGGATGATTGATATTGAATTTTATTACTCACTTGTACCATTCATTTGCTAATAACTTGGTATAGACTGGATTTTTACAACATAATGGAGTAATGTTCTATTTTTCTTCTCTAAAATAAAGAGAGAGAAGAGGAAAAGTAAAAAAATTTAAAAATAAGATTTTTTTTGTTTAAAAAATTGGTTTGGTTTTCTCTTACTATTCTCTTACGTCTATCATTTCCTTTCTTGTTTTTTGTTCTTTACTTTCTCTGGCTCCGTGAAAAATTCTCTCTCATTTTCTCCTTATGCTGTCCTTCTGCACTTTAATTGGATCAGCCTGTGTAAATGTCATGTCCATCAGTGCCCATATTTTGTCTATTAATTGACAAAAAAACGCAACACTCCGGTTAGAATACACTTCCCCGTCCTGCTTTTAATAAAAAAAAAAAGACAAGACGTCATCAGCTGTTAGGAATTAGTTTTACTTATTATTTAATTAACTGGCATATGTTTTAAACCTATGTACATCAAACATAATAAATTGTAAACAATATAATGTCGATCAGATAATAAAAAAGAAACAATTTTTTCAGAATGGTTTATCATTTTAGTTCTTGCCTCATAGAGTTGTACTAGTTTTTTTGTAAAAAATATTTATTTTCAGCAAAGGTGAAGCAGGAAATAATTTGAGTTTTCATGTATATTTTGGAAAGATAAAAATTAGAAAAAAAAAGAAATTGAAAGTCATTTTTGAGTTGATTTTTGAAGAATAGTTAGGAAGATATATTTAGGAATTGATATTAGACTTATTAGTATTAATTTAGTATTAAATACTTTGTTTGAATTATAATAACTCTTTTAAATTAACTAATTTTTCTTTATCCTACTAGAATGCACTTGCATCTTTTAATTTTATGTTCTGTTTGTATTTCCTGCTCCTTCATTAAGCTTGTTTTGCTCATTTTTAATCATTTTTTTTGTTTTAATGAGATGCAAAACATGTAATTTTAAGTTTTATTGATTTCTATTATCTGAGACATATAACTAATTAAGATCTTATTATTGTACTAGTTGTTGAATCGAGAAGGGTAAAAGACACAATTTCGATAGATTGCTAATAATTGTTTTGATTGACAACTTTGTAACATTTCTTTCCATTATCTAGTTGTTGACTTTTCTGAGCCAGAAGCATTTTCCACATCTGATGACTATAAGGATGATTACTCCGATAAGAGCAATGATTTCTATTCCGTTGAATAGGAAGGAAAGAGTATTGATTGATAGCAGGAGAGATAATGTTGATTAGCTGTTCCATTGATTCTAAGTGTTGGCCTTGAGAAGTAAAGTCTATTTTCTTTCTGTGTTGCTCCGGGGTTTTCATTTCTTCCATTTCTGTGCTCTTTCTTCATCTTGCAGCACAATTTCCAATCCCTGGATTTTGAAATACAGTATCTGGATGTTAAGTTTCGAATTGACACTTGATCTCGACATTTGCTTCATATGTTACATGCCATTCCATCACTGATCTGGTGTTGAAGTCTTTTTTCGTTTTACAGTTAGTTTCAAATTCTTTGTTTATTGCTTCACATTGTCTCTGCGATTGTTGATTTGTGGTTCTGGTGCTCAGTTTAACGCTCTTCAGTCCCCTTGCTGTCAGTGTGTCTTGATGTCTGATTGCTCTACCAACACACCTCTGATCCATAGTCCACATACATTCTATAATTGTTTGTTGGTCGTTATTTTGCATAATGGTGAAGAACTTTCCGATTTGTACGGTTTGTTGGTTTAGAAACTTTGCCTTCACTCTTTTGGTCTTGATAAGGTTGAAATTGAGCTTTACTAGGTTGTGCAGTCTTGTACACCCATGAGGTCTTATAGTTTGGTCTTGGTTAAGCCCTATTCCATATCTGCTTATTATTTCTGTTGGGTTGATTCCTGTGTAACTGTAAAAGGCTTCTTCAGCTTCTGTGAAGAATTTGTCTGCCGCATCAGCCATCAGAGCTAAAGTTGCTTTCTTCATCTGTTTGTACAGTAACTCGGAGAGGTCTTGATTTCTTTCGCTGAGGCTCTCCTCGCCTTTCATCAGAGATTCAATGTTTTTTGTAAAGGCAGATTCATGTGACAGCAGGAATTTCATCATTCCTTGTGATTTTTTAATTTTATTTATAGCAATTTGTAAATCGCCTTCGGTGGCAACTCCGAAAAGTGATGAGACAAAGGTAGATCTTCTTTCTCATTCATTCTGTTCTTGGGTTACTGAATTATTGTTGCATTGAAGATAGTTGATCTGCTGTTTCAGTATATGAAGTCTGTGTTGCATTTTACGAATCTGTATTTGATGATAATCGTATTGTATGCCAGATAGCTTTGATGCTGCTTGAAGTCCTTGTACTTCCCCCTCAATGGTGCCTTAGTCAAGTGTTACTGTGATTTTCTCAATAGTATCTATTATTGGAATCTTGACAATCTTTGGTATTGCATGTTTTTCTCCACGAATCTTGACAATCTTTGGTATTGCATGTTTTTCTCCACGCAGTATGTCTGTGTTATGCTGCCAATTCACTGTCATTCCATCACAGAGGCTATTGTAAATTATTAACGTGAATGCAGTGATGACTGCATTTGTAGTTTTTATCTTCTTCATGTCTAATAGTCTACAGAGCACAGCGAGCTGACTTTCTCTGCTCTGCACAGTCTTGGTTGAATTTTTTCTGTCGCTTTATTGAAAATTATGTATTCACAAACAAGGCTATATCATTGGGTATAAACATGGTGTAGTCTTTAATTTTTTGGGCTCTTCTGTCATTTTCTTCAATTAGTTTTTCACAAAAGTTTATGTCTCTTGAATTAGCTTCTCTAAACTTTCTGATTTGGACCATGAATTTTCGAATATGAGCATTTCTTCTAGTGTTTTCATAAATTTGTCTCTCATTGCTTCTAGATGAATAGATTTGCTGTTTAACTTCTTGGATTATTTCTGACAGTGGTTCATTTTCTGAATGTGATATGAGTGGGATTCCTTTCATGTAGATGATATTTTCTTGTGTTAAGCTTACAACTCCTGGCTTTGACTTGGTTTCTTGAACAATGTTTTGCAGATTTTCCCACAATTTGTAAACATATTCATCACAATCTAGGAATGCTTGTTCTATGATTTCTTCATGTTCACATTTTTGACATTTGTTATTAATGTCCCTTCCAGACTTAAATGCTTTTGATTTTGTCCATGTAGTTCTGTTCAGTATGGAAAGGTTAAGAGATTGCTGGTATTCTGAGAAGTTGGATTTGTAGTTCTTTTTGTATGCTTGATTGTATATTTCTTTCTCTGGGATGCTGATTCCATCTCTGATTTGTGTCTGCCTAGATGGAGCAGTTTCCCATTTAAGTTCTTGTTTCATTTTTCTTTGTTTTTCAAATGTTTTGATATTGTGATCTTTTTCTCAATGAGGATTGCTTCCACATGATTTTTGGTGAGTGGCGCATTTCTGAATTCTCTTCTCTTGCTCTTGATGTTTTTGATGATATTGGTAATCTTCATTTGTATGCTTCAAATTGGTATATTGATAGTGACAGTTTTTTCAAATGATCTTGGCTCATCCGTTGAGAAAAGTTGGCTTACTGTTGTGAACCCTGCTCTTTTAAGTTCATATCTTTTAGCTCTTTTGAAGGAAAATGGATGATCATAGACAGAACCTCCAATAGCTGATACTTCCCATGAGTCTTGTTTTTCTTCCCATTCTTGGATTGTGTCAGCTTGGTTTGTTTATGTGTGTGTATATATTCTTGCTAGATCAGTCATTTTCTTGCTCAGATCTCTAATTTGTCTTGATACCATTGTTAGAAGGTCATCTACCTGTAGATCATCTGTTTCAAGAAGTTTAGTGATATTTCTTTTTATCATTCTTTGATTTTGGATCTTCTCATGTTTAAACCTCTTACTCTGATAGGAGCATGTGTTCTTTCCTTGGCAATTTGATGCCTGCCTTCTAGGTGCCCATCCTTATTAATTTTTTTCTTCCACAGAGCTTTATAGATGATTTCTTGTATCTCATTGAGGTGATCTTTGGTCAAATTCAAGCTCATTATTATATGATTTGTTTGACAATGCAGAATTGCTTCGATTAGCAGAGCTCTTGTGTATACAGAGCACTGGTTTCTTTTTACCTTTCTGTTGGTTGCTTTTTCCATTCTGCCTTTTAAATAATCAAAGTTGACTTTTTCCATGTTTTCTTCTGCACTGGTTAACCATATACCTAGATGTTTCACTCTGTTTTTGACTGCTTCTTTTCCAAGGTTGTTTATTTCATTAATTAGCCCTGGATTTGTATTGAAGGCTAATATTTCTGTTTTTGCTTGATTGATTGAATATCCAGTGATTGCACTGAGGGAGTCGAAAAAATTCAGAAGTTCTTTGTAATCGTAAGGTGATTGTAGTTGAACTGGGGATACTTGTATCATCTGCAAAGCTGACTGGATCAACAATTTCATCCCCATCTTTTAGGGCCCAATCAAATCTCTTAACTTTGTAGAGCAGAGTGTTTCCTTCATCAGTAGCATCATACTTGACTGAGTTGGCAGGGTCGCCCTGTCCAGTCCCCCCACTGAGAATTTAAGTTTTGATTGAACTGGCTCCATACATTTCTACACAGAAGAATCCTTTGGTTGTCAGTGCATTGAGTTTTTTTACTAGTTCATCTGGTGCACCCAGATGTCTCATCATTGCTGTTGTAGCTTCTGTTCTTGTGAGGTCAAGGGCAGCTCTTGCATCCAAAAATACTATTTGTATAGCTTCTCCAGTTCTTTTAGCTCTGTTAATCACTGTTTGTAGGCATGTTGAGGCTTCAGAAACTGTGGGTGTTGGTATGAATCCAAACTGTGATTTAGAAATATTCTTGTTAACACATTTTCCAAGTTTGTTGGCCAATAATTTTGCAATGATCTTGTAGTAAACTTCAAGGAGACTGATGGGGCGGTAACTCTCTATTTTGTTTCTTGGTCTTCCAGGTTTTGGGATAAAAATAATCTTTCGTTTCTTGATTATTCATGAGCTTTGTTCTCAGTGTGGTGATTTATATATTCATTTAGACCTTTAGCAAAGAGGTTGGGGATCATGGAGATTAGCCATAGGAAGAAGCTTTTTGTTGTTCCTGATGGTCCTGTGGTAGATTCATTTTGCATATTTTTTAGAACTCTTGTTATTTCATCTATTGAGAATCTGTTTGCTTCTTCACTTTCCTCTTGGGAAGGAGTATATGCTGGATGTTGGATGTTAAATTTTATCATTTTTTGGCTGATCGGTTTGGATTCGTCTCAGTTTTTGGTCAGCTACTGACTCAGCTAGGTGTGCTCTGAATTTTTCTCTAATTTGTTCTTCTTGTGTGATAACTTGATTTTCATCTTCAATGCTTATGATCTTTGAGTCTAACTTTTCTTCTTTTGTATGTCTGAATATTGCAGCAGTCATTTTACCATTTTCATTTTGGTAGAAGTAATCAATTCTTTCCCTGAATCTTATCTCTGTTCTTCTCAAGTGGTTTCTTCGATTGTTCTTTTCTTCTTTTAGATCATCCTTTGTTTCCTGTTCAGCTTC